AACGCGAAATATAAAAAAATTCAATGCATTCAATACAAACACTTAGACGTTTTTTAGACGTTTAGGTAGCTCCCAGTAGAAAAATATCAATTCAACAGCGGCCTTTTAAAGCAGTCTCACTTCAATTAATTAATTAATTCCTAATTGAGTTTAAATTAAATATTATCATGTTTTTAGGGCATGAATCTTAATTGAACAACCTGATAATGCTCACTCTGGTTATTGTTTCCGTTTTTAAAAGCGCTATATGTTGAGCCATCTCACCTAGATTTGCCATGTGACATTTTTAGCAGCAATCATTGGTCGATTTTCTAACGTTGCCATTCGGGGAGTTGTAATGCGGCTTTTTTTTTGGTGCCGTGTAAGAGAAATATATATATAGATATAGATATTTTAAAAATTTATTGAAATTAAATTATTAAAAATTTATTTTTGTAAATAATTATAAATTTTTCCAAATTTTCGTAACTATTTATAAATTCAATATTAATTGAAATTAAAAAAAATAATAAAAATGTTTAAATTTTTCTTGCATTTAACAAAATGTATAAAAATGCGTTTGTGTGAAATCAGAAATTTGTTTAAAAATTGATTTAAATTGGAATATTTTCCAAACTTAAAGCAGAGTTCTCTCAAAACTACTTTTTTCATTCTCTTAAGCATGATCACTTTTTCAATTTTTATTTGATTTAATTTATATTTAACAACATTCATAAAATTTATCTAGTTTCTGTTGCACGTAGAGTATTTTTCATCATTTTTAACCATTGAATGATAACATTATACATTAAAGAAAGTTAATATTTATCATTAAATATTGAAAAACTTTAATCGTAATAAAGCATTTCTACACGCAGCTGAAACTACATTAGTTATAATGCCGGATGATAAAATTTGAAATAAATTGGATGAAAATTAAAAGTGTAATTGTGTTTGAAAAGCTAAGAAATGTTTTTTTTTTTTTTAAATTTTATTTTGCGAGTTTATGAATATTTATTTCAGGCAAGTGCACTCTAACGCAAAAATGGACAAATTTCCTTACTAATATGAGTTTTAATTTCAGGACACGGTTTCCAAATTTAAAAATATCACCCTGTGATGTCGAAATAAGAAAAAATTATTTTGTAAATTTTCAGGTTCTTCGTGGGGCTAAAGATCCAACAGGAATGCGTAAAGAAATAGAAAGTGATGAAGAAAAAAAGAGTGCTTTAAATCTTCAGAACATTTGGGAGTTCGAAGTGAGTTTTGATACTGAGAGTTAATAGAGTGTTACAGAGTGTTTAGATTTACATTTTGTTAAACTCGAGTGACTATTAAAATTTACGTAGATTTAAATTAATTATAGATATCGTTTTTCCTTAGGGTTATTTAAAATATTCTCCTATATTTTATGGCTACTACAGCAACAGAGAAAAAACAGAAGAAGGCTACAGGCTTCCTCTGGCATACTTTTTAACGTCCATAGCTGTTTATATCTTTAGTTTCTTTGCTATACTAAGAAGGTATTATTATGTATAATTAATAATTATCATTATTAAATCAACAAAATATAATATAATTACTATAATTCTTAGCTTACGTTGATTTTTCTTTTCATTCTTATTTTTATTTGTGATCTGTGTTAACTAATTTATTAAATCAAGTAAAAATTAACTTTCTCTAAAGATGTTTTTAAAGTTTTTCTGTCAAAGAAAATAAAGTAACAGTTTTACCTGGGCTTTATTGAAAATAAAAATTAAGCAATGCTTTAACTGCTTCTTTTTCGAACAAATATTTTGCGCATTTAAAGTATTGTTTAAAATTTTTAAAATCATCTCTGATGAGTTTTTTTTTCAGTTTTTGCATATTTTAATGTGCCCAAACTAGGCAGTGTAAGAGTAATTTTCAAATATTGAAAAATTATGAGGTACATACAAAATATAAGGATTGTTAAACAAAAACTACGTTATTAAAAAATACTAAGTTAAACTTGAACTGTAGTTGCAAGTGTAACTAAAAAGATTCGCTTTTAAGTCGCTAGGTGGCTAGGTAAAAGGATAACCAAGCCTGCATCAGTCTATTAATACCTTTTAAGCAAGCGACTCATAATGGAATGCCTGATTATAAAGAGTTGCTTCTTGTCAGTTTCTTTGAGTCAAATAACTAGATTTAATGATTAGCGGTATTTGGAAACTGGAAGTCTATGAAATTTAGATGATTTGTTAAGCTTTTTTAAGGAGTTATCCTGTTTCACGACAATGCTCGACCACACGCGGCCGAAGCAATAAACGAAACATTTCAGACATTTAAAAGGGAAGTCGTGAGCCTGCTCTCTACAACTCAAATGCGTCTAAATGTTGTTGTTGTTGACGTATGCCTGTTTAGGCAGAGGGGGTGCGATTAATCTTGTTTTCTAGTGGCGCCATCTATGGTCAAGAATTCGATTTCTGCCACCCATACGTCGCACCCGTTTATGGGGCCATTCATACATCCATTCATTCATCCACAGATCGTAATTTTGACCTGAATCAGAGAATGATTGATCTCCAATCCAGTATCCCCTGAGGTATTAATTTGTTATGGGAACGTGGAGGACTTTTGCGACTCGACAGATTTAACGTGCATCAGTCACTTTACTACCCGGGGAGTCTTCGGCCGACGGGGTTCGAACCCACGAACTATCGGACATGAGTCCAGCACCCCTACCGACCAAGCTATCCCGGCCCATATGTCTAAATGCAACAACTTAATGCACAACATTTGCAAACGCAACTGGTTCTAACAGTCGTGAATGGTTAGTGACTAGTTTCATAATAAGACAAATTCCTAAATGACTGTACACAGGATTTTGAAGTCCCAATTAGTAAATTTTATGTAATACCCTGGTTTTTAATTGACTACTCCTAATTGGATCATAAAACTTTTCCATTTAAAAATACAGAGGCTTTTTCTTTCTATTGACGTTTTGCGCCATTTTCATAATCAACATAAATGAAAAATGGCTACACATGGACAAAATTTATTCAAATCAGATGTAAAAATATCCAATTAAGCTCTAAAAATGTTGATAAGTTAATAAAAAATTAGAAGAATTGCATTAAAGAAATTTATTTCTGAAAATATTTTAACTTTGTACAGAATGGCTGAGAATTCAAGAATGAGTAAGCTGTCTGAGAAAGACGATGAATGTACTTTTGCCTGGAAATTATTTACAGGATGGGATTACATGATTGGCAATCCTGAAACTGCATACAACAAAGTTGCCTCTCTTGTTATGGGTTTTAAGGTAAATTTTTTTTAATAAGTTTAAAAGACTATATATTAGTGTTGTGAGAGAGAATAGTGAACTTGTCAGCAATGTCATCGTATCACACTAACACGCACACATTAATACATCGTATCACATTGTTCGTTAAGAATTTTAATATTGTTACGTTTCCAGAAAAAGTGACACAGCATATCAACTTATAATTGATATCTTAAATTTTAATGTCATAATCGTTTCCTACAGCCTTAATAAGGTGTTAAATGGAACCATATTTTGTTCACGCTGCACCACAATGTTGTATAATTAAATTTTTAAAAGCATTTCTTTGCACGTTAATATGGTTTAAGTAAACATCACGTTAAATTTACAGAAAATTTGATGTATATATTTCAAATTTTTTGAAAGATCACAGCGAATGTAAATTGATAGAAATTGAGGGAGTTATTACTGTTTGGTTTTGAATAATCAGTGAAACTGTGTTTCATATACATACATAGTTAATCATTTTATAAATCAAAAAATGTAAATTTAACTAACGTAATGGGAGCTAAGTCAGTGATATATATTCTGTCAAAGTTTAAATAAAGCAGGCTGAAATTTTCTTCGAAGAAAGCTAGTGTATCAGAACATAGGAAAAATACTTTATTGATAAAACGTATTCTCAGCTGGTATACGCTTGTTTTAAAATTATACTTTGTATGCCGATACGAACAGTCTTTTTCACCTATTGAGTGCTAATTCATTATTTCAGAAAATGCCTTTGTCAGCCAACTTCCACACTAGTGTTCTCTCTTGTTCTCTCTTCCACTCTAGTGTTCTCTCTTTATTTACTTTACATTTTTTTTAAATATCAAAATAATTCAGTAAAAAATTGCTCAACTGTTATGTGAGGGATGCTTTTGCCTATTTCTGTTCTTTTATTGTAGGAAGCTATTCTTGAAGAAAAAGAAAAGAAGAAAGAAGATAAAAGGTGATTACAGAATAATGCAAGAAAAAGTTGCATAATTTTATCTTTTTAAAAATTATGTAATAGAAATGTGATAAAATTTATAAAATGCAGATTTTTTATTAGCTGTAAAGATTTTAGAAATTTTAAAAATTTACCAGGAGATTGGAAAACTTAAAATAATGTTGTAAAAAATCTATAATATCGGCAGGACACCAAAAACACAAATCTGTCAGTTAGGCAATTCACCACAAACTGATTATAAGTATTAAAAATAGTTTGATATCAATTGTACATGTCAAAATTAAGTATTTGTGATGCCACATAAGCATTACATATTTCTTAGCTTTTAAAATTTCTTCAATTTTTTAAACTTATTTTTTTAATCGTTCTTAATCATATTATAATTAAATCAAATCAATTATTTAGTTTTTATAAAAAGCAAACAAAAAATATTTAATTGTTTTCTTATCGATCAATACAATAGCATACTTTGTATTTCAATACTACTGTAGACTCATTAATTCACTGTCGCGCCCAATCGAAAACAAAAATCTATTTATAACTCTTTATTCTTAAATTTCCTACCACAGATATGTTTCAGTTACATTGTTATACTAATTCTCACAGTCTTGTTGGCGATTCGCGATCGCCAAAGTATTTTCAAACCTAATATTGATTATGAGGATGGGTTTTATTTTTGGCTTCGTTATTTTTCGATAAATCACCAACCATGGATCGCTTCTCATGATTCTAACTGTCTGTTGGGAACAATTCAATTGGTTTTTTAATTTGGCTTTTGATTAGGCAGGTCATGAGGGATTTGTTTCCCATGATCTGTCCTTATTATTATTATTATGCAAAATTTATACAACTTAAAGTCCTATGGATAAAAATGTAAATTTGTATCTCAAGCTCTACAAATACTTCTAAATAAAGTTTTATTATTAGGATCCAGTTTTCATCTTCAGCAGTCATTTTCATCATCCTGTTTTCTTCCTGTTCTCATCTCAATCTTCAATTAGTCAATTATACCAATTCCAACTATAACCACACCTGATTTCCGTCTTCATAGTATTAAATAATCAAAATCATCAAATAAATTTAAAGAAAAGAGTTTTTGGATATTGTAATTCATAAAACACTGATTTGCTCCTGGGCAGTTTTAAAATAAGGCTGATTTGAAAAAATACTTTGAAAAAAATCATCTTTAAAATATCTAGATACATTTGGTAGTTTTTTTAATTGCTCTAAAATGAAGTTTAACAATGTTCTATTGAGTCTCATACTAGTTTAGATTCCATTTATGATTACAGAAAACAAAAATCATAATGCCGTTTATGATACAGAACTATCTAAGTTAGCCAATTGATATCACTGATAGCTTGACTAAATATACAAGGTTTTTTGTAATCTCTATTCTTAGTATGTTCTGTGAGTTACTTTGTGAGTGCTGAAATTACTGTGAGTCTGAATAACTCTCATAGTTTTGACGTATTTAGGACTCAAGCTTAATGGTTCGAAGATCTGACCTCAAATAAGCTGACAAATTAGTGCAAACGATATTATTTATTACGTAATCAGAGTCAAGAACGTAATTTCACTGAAAAAACAGATTTTAACAGAGATTGAACTTTTCTTCTTCAAAATATGAAATATGTTTATTCTCGAAAATAAGATCTGAATAGTTTAGTCAGAAGAGTGGTCGAAAGTTTAGTACCTCTTAATGTTAATTTTACTTTTTACGTGTTTTGCAATATCTTAAAAACTTTTTAAATAAATCAAAAAATATTTGCACAGTATTATAAAATCATTTATTCAAGCATAATTTATTTAAAAAAATAATGTTAAAAAATTATTTATTATATTTTGATAGTTTACATAATAATGGTCGAAAAACTACTTGCACGTTTAATATTCGCGTCAAATTAATTTTACGTCATGCATATTACGGATGCTTATAAACATTTAAGGTGTATAATAAAATTTTGAAAATAGCTATTGAGGAAAGAGAACTCAAAATTATCAAATGATGATTATCATCTTTTTCGTTCATAATTCATCAGATATCAACAACGTTTTCTCTAGGTTTTATGCACTTGTCTTATTTAACTCTGATTACCTAGAGTTCTTAATCGTTTTTTTTTTTTGTATCTCTAAAATATTAATTTGTGACCCCTAATTTATACATATTTATGATTTCATTACTGGCAGAGCTAATAAAAACATATACTACGGGTGATGAATACGAAATACTTTAAATAATTTTCGTTTAATGCAAACGGAGAAATATAACTTTTATCAATTTTTAAATTGAAATTGGAACAGTATGAGCAAATCTTCGAATCCAACTGCAAGTTTATAAATCTTTATAAACCTGCTTGCACAATTTTCCCTTTTCTTTATTTAAACTAACTTAATCTTGTACCATTTATATTTTTTTTCTTTTTAACCCTTAAATTATTTGCTGTAGAAACATTAATGTTAGCTAGGTTTTCTTTCTTCTATTAGAATTGTACTGAATGATACCTTTGTAATGATATTTATCATTCGGCTTTCATTTTCCTTAATAGTTGGAAACTCATCGCTGCAAGAGTTGCAGCAAATTTTATGGTTCTGATATTGTTGGCTTCCAGTGCGTACGCTGTAGTACTTGTAGTAACCAGATCTCAAGAGCCAGAAGCCCAAGACAGCTGGTATAGACAAAATGAAGTATGACAATAATTTTTTTTTGTACTGTAATGTTTTTGGAACAATTCTCCCAGCAGGTGCATTCGGGATCACGGTCAGCCCGACTCACCATTATAATTTGATTCTTTCTTAGGTTTCGAAAATAGTTTCATAGAAATTTTAAGGTTACAATCAGAGCAAAGATGGACAGAATCCTCCAAATATATTAACTTTAAACAATATCAGGCGACATTGTTTAAAGCGGTATTCAAGTGACATCCTAAAGCAGATCCAAATTAGGTCGCGGATCTGTAAACGATATGACTTCTGAGCATTAATATGATTACAAATACGGACAAAAGTAAATTCATGCGTATTTCATACATATGTGCGCCTTCTGATGGATTGATAAGCATTTTAGATAATCTAAATTGGCTATCTGCAATGTAAATATTAGTTCATAAATTCTTTTAAAAAAAGAGGAAGTTTTTTTTTGTTTGGAAACCTTTCCAAAAAAATTACATCCTTTCTCGAAAATATGTATATTATTTTACCAGAAATGAGTTCAAGTTTTATTGTAAAATTTTACAGAAAAGAATCCATGTTTAAACTAATTGAATCTTCCTCCCTTGTCAGACCTTGCAATGCCAGATATGTCCAATTTATATTTCAGAAAAATTTTATTTATTAAAGTTTTATTTATGCTACCAAAAGTGCTTTTTTAAAATGTTTTGAGTTTATAACATTAATTAGACATGAAGTAGTTATAGAATGCTTTCTTTAAAGTATTATTATTTTGATTGTAAGTGTTATGACGCCCGGTGGCTGAGCGGTAGCGCTTCGTGCTGTCGTGCCACAGGTCCCTGGCCCGATCCTCGGGCCGGACAAGGTTGACTCAGCCTTTCATCCCTTCAGTGGGTCGATAAATGAGTACCAAGCATGCTTGGGAATTAAACACTGGGGGTTCTGCGTTCGGCTGACCACCTGACCGGAACATCTGCTCCTGTACCCAGAGCCCATGGACAAGAAAACTGAGATGGGCACAGTAGGCCTTGGCCCTCTATAGGCTGTTGCGCCGCTGAGTTTAGTTTAATAAGTGTTATAATTGTTTGATTGGGTATCTATTTTTGATGATATAAAATTAATTAAAATGAAAACCATCGATAAATATTTGAAACCTTGTTACTGTGTTTCATACTGTGTACAATTAAGAATAGCAAACGATTGCAGGATTCCTCTTTGATCCTTTGATTGTATCCCTGCTGAAGGGCACAACAGCAAAAGAATTTAATTACAAATTTTTTTATTTAATTTATTTATATAATTTATTTATATAATTTATTTATTTAATTTTCTTTTATTTAATTTTTTAATTTCTTTTCGTTTGGTTATTATCATCTACATTAACAAAAACACATTCTTTTACGATATAACATTGATTTCAAGTAATTTCAGAATTTTATTTTATTTATTAATAAGTAATAAACACTTTCTTTTGTCTAGATGCAGCCCATACAATCCTTTCTTCTTTCGGCTTGTTTGGGTTAAAGTTCCCGGAAAAGGCTGAAATTACTCTTTTTGACTGTATCTTTTTTATTTAATTGATCTATTTTTCATTAAATAATTGTTTGAGACATTCCCTAAGCGAAAGAAAATTATTTTTTCCTCAATACTTCTAAATTCATATGGTAAGTGATAAGGATGTAGTAAATATTCTTTTATATTTCTTCAGAAGGAGTCTAAGACATTAAATTAATTCAATATGACTTTAAAAATTAACTACAAGTCTTTATTTTAATTTTATCTTTAGGTGACTTTAGTAGTTTCTTTGATCTCTAACCTGTTTCCTAACCTTTTTGATATGATTGGAATAATGGAAAAATATCACCCTCGAGTTCAACTACGGTGGCAGCTAGCTAGGTAATGAAATTTTAATTCTCTTTCTTCTACAAATCAGAATGCTGTAAAAGTTTTTTTAGAGTAAAATATTTCTAATAGTATTTATCATTCTAATTTAAATGTAGTATGTATTAAAATTTTGGTTATTTTTAAAACTTGGAATGTCTTCTTTGTCTCTTGCTTTGCATTGAGAAAATCGTATGATCATAACTACCAGAATAAAGCAAAATTTAAGGCGTTTCTAGCTCTATGGGAACAGCAAAAAGTTCGGTAATTTTTGCTGAAGTGCTTTGGTAATGATTTTGGTAAAATTAAAGATAAAATAGTATCTTATAATACTCGGTAAAATTTGGTAAATGTGATAAATTTTGGTAATTTTTTCATGATACTTTGGAGCATGAATTCAGGGAGTTAGATAATATTTTTCAGTGCGTTAGAAGGAATATAAAAATGTTTCAGATGCATTTTAAAACCTTTTAGAGGCTAAAAAAAGTCTTTTTTTTTATAGTGTAGTATAAAATAACTGCATAATTTTCAATAAAAGTTTGGCACACAATATTTAATCAGTAGATATAGCATTAAAATGTAATTTTATTTATTTCATACAACTTAGAAGCCAGTTTCAGTTTGTAATGGAACCTATTTTTATCTGTTTTAGTGAATTTGTAAGTTTAAAGAAAAATATTTGTATAGTATAATAAGCCATAAGACCATAGTTAAAGATTTACTTCATGTAACAATGATAATTTTTTTCTTTTTCAGAATTCTAGTTTTATACCTTCTCAATTTATATACACTCATCTTTGCACTTTTTCATAAAGTCTACAAAACGGTAAGAGTTTTACTGGAATAACAAAAATATAAATTTTCAAAATTTTCTTGTATTTCAACGTACGAAACTCATTATTAAGCTATAATGTTTTGCTTTTAAAGTTTTAAAATGTATGTTTAAAAAGAACGAAATTCAGATTAAAAAATAATATTCTTCATCTAAATAATATTCTTCATATATGCCTGTTATATATTGTAAGTTTTTGGTGATTTATTGAATGTTCAATTATATAATATCAATTTTCAATAATTTATGTGTGTGACTTATTAAAAAATAATACCAAAATTTCAGTGGTTATTTACAAGAAAAATCTCAAATAAAGTTGAATTATTATAATCTATTAAAGCGTCGTATTTCAAGCGAACTTAATTCCGAAATTTAAATCTTATATGGAATAAATGTATCCTAAAGCAAAAACAAGAAATACATACTTTAATTCTTGTAATGTGTTTATCAAAATTAGACAAAAAATAATGAATTACAAGCAGTCAACTATTTTTGTTTTATTACTTTTAAAGACTACTTGTAACAAGTACTAATATTAAACAATTACTATCTTAATCTTGATTATTAGTAATCATAATTTACGTTTACAACTGTAATCATAATTACAGCTAAGAATAAATATACGTATGTAATACACCCAATAATGATCTAAGATTGCACGTATATTATAATTATATCTTATTATAATTATATCTTAGCTTAATTACAATTATGATTTTTCGTCTGGGTAACCATTATTATATGAGTTCTCGATTACAGAATCAGTGATATTTTTTCTGATACTAACCGTTGTTTAACAGCCTACCCAATACTACTAATGTACTACTTTTGCGTTGGGTTTACGACTACTAATGTTCAACTACGTAGCCTTGTAATTTTGAACCCAATCCAGAAGACAGTAACTCTATAGTATATTAACTTTATAGTAACTAACTATAGTAACTTCTGGATCGAGTATTGAGAGAAATTTGCCTTCATGGAGGACTTTTTGATGGAACTAACCCGCATTTGCGTAACATGAAGAGCGAGACCACGACAAACCTGCCACGGTTATCCTGACTGCAAGGGGACTCTAACCCATGATCTGTCTACCACTGAGGATATATCACGTCAGAACTGTGGTCGGTGCAAGCCGGATACGGAATTCGTATCGACTGGGATTCGAGCTTAGTTCACGTCATTGGAAGGCGAGCGTTCCGACGAACCCTGAGCCACCACGACTCTCCTGATATATTTGGCTTATTGTGTGAACAATTAATGTGAAAGATAAAGTGATGGAGCACTAAGTTTCAAAATTTAAATCTTATGTGGAATAAAAGTGGCCTGGTACAAAAACAAGAAATACATCTTTAATTCCTGTAATGTGTATAAAAACTAGGCAAAAATAATGAATTACGAACAGTCAACTATTTTTGTTCTATTACTTCGAATAGATTACTTGTAACAAGTTATATAATTAAACGATTACTATATTAATCTTGACTATTAGTAATCACAATTTACGTTTACAACTGCAATCATAGTTAAAGCTAAAAATAAATATATGTATATAATACAAGCAATAATGATCTAAGATTGCACATATATTATGATTATATCTAATCTTCACTAAAATTAAAATTTTTATTTTGGGAAACCATATTTATATGAATTCTTGATTACAGAATCAGTGATATTTCCCCCGGTATATTTGGCTTAATGTGTGAACAATCAATGTGAAATTTGAAGTGACAGAAGCCAAGTATTTAAAATTTTGAAAAATGGAGAAAAACCCACAAAACTAAAAGCAATTATTTTGCATTTCTGATATGCTAGAAGTTAGTTAAAAGCAATTATTTACTTATTTATTTAAAATTTAACCTGTATTTTGTTTTGCTAGTATGAGTTAGTATATATGTTATTTTTCAAATGCATAAAAAATTTAAAATTATTGGAGAAGTTTATGTTTAAATATATTAGCTCTCGGCATTCGAAAGGCTTGAAGAAATATAATAATGCACCTTATTTTTAAATTGTTTAATAGAGCGCTTCTGAAAAATGAAAGCACTTTAGTTTACTCGTGGATAATGATATGCTTCTGTGTACTTTTCTACAATTTAGTAGAAATTGTAAGGGATCTACACGGAAATAATGCTAAGGATAGCTTTATATAAATGTCACAAAAAAGTGAGACTTATTACTATATTGTCCAAAACTATAAGGCAAAACTAATAATTTTGTTACTGGCTAATGGCCAGTAGCATTCAACATTTTAACATTCAACATTTTAAGCAGTGGCCACTATTTCAAAAATTTAAAATTCTGAATTATTAAGAAACTAGTGATATTATTAAAGCATTTCTCTGTATATGGTTAACTCTACAAGAAGCTTTTTTTTAAATGAAGAAAAAATTTTCTGACCAATTTTTGAAATAGGTTCATGTGAAGTTTAAACATTGTATATAGTCTTTTTAACTAATAAAATAAAAGTTTTTAGCCAATAATGCAACAGAAAATTTAGCTTTATGAACATAAAACATAAACTGAAAGAATTTTAATCATAGTGAGATATTACATTAATAAGAATACTTTCAAATATTATTTGCCATAAATTAAAAAAAAGTAAAATGAAATTAACTTGAATTCGAATAAAATCATCGATAATCAAATTCAGTTTCACTGAAATATAAACAAGTCTGAATGCTCCGGGGATTATTATAGTTTTTTCGTGTAATTAATAATACTAGAAATTGAAAGCATGAGAACAGGGGTTCAAGCAGCGATCAAAAGGCCATCGGTAGCAATTGACAAATTCTTAATTGCCATTTTTTTATATTTGTGGCAGAGATAGAGATTTTTTATTTTTTTCCTACACCTCAAATTTTTTCAATTATTCCAATTTTATTTAAAAATTGTTTTTAATGGGACAATATTTATGTTTTAGAATGCTGAGCTTAATGCTTTTGCAAGGAACATAACAGATTCAATAGACTTCCAGAATGTGTCAGTGACCCATCGACATACTCGAAGCCTTTTTAGCATAGAAGAAAATCTCGCTGAAACGACAACACTTTTTTCACCCTACAACTGCACCTACATTGTCATCCACAACTGCACTTTGGCAGCTCTTTACGCGAGCATCAACTTGACTGATTACACAAGCACGGCTTCGCCAGTGTCTCCCATAGACGGAGATTATTTTCTCGAAAATTCCACGACCGAGGATTACTCTAGTTATGACACCTTCGTTGATAATATTGCCAATTTGACTGCCTATGGCATGGTTAACTGGACTGTTAGTGCTGAGAAACCATCAGTGCCACATATTTCTTTACCACCTGTTTTTTTCAATGCATCTTCCGCTATTGATCTTGATGAGGATAAAATGACGTGGGATATACCTTTGGACTACTTTAGTGAACCACCGGATAATTGGACGTTGTTATACGGACTAAATGATAGTTTCAGTACTTATATGCCAAATGTTTCAACTATTTTTTTACACAATGGTAAGTACGTAAACATTTTTTTTTATTTTTGGTTTTAAAATTCATTTTTTTCGAACCATTTCAATTCATTTTAGATCCGGCATTGAAAGGTTGTTGCTAATGTGGGTGAATACACTATTGATTAAAAATAAAACTTAATAAAAAATATAAAATGCACCGAAACGACATTACTTTACGCATTTTATTAAGTTATATGAAGTATTGAAAACATTGTTCGCTGGAGTTTTGCATCGATTACCTTGGTTGGGTTTCCATAGCAGGAATGTTGGGATTTGGCACAGATTATCTTGCCATGAAAATATAAAACAGCCACGAATATTTGGCGCTCTTGATATTTAAAGGGGGGTTCTGAAAAGGGAGGTGGTTGCAAGGATATTCTTATCTTAATGAAACGTCATTCAAATGAAGAAATTTAGAGATTTCGATTCGCTAAAAGGATGGTGCCACTCTGACGCTGGGAATTTTTGGGGCTATCTTAATGCGTACTTTATCTACGAATTATTGCCCATTAACTTCAGAAAATAATCTTTTACCTGGCATCTTGACTTTTTATGCCTCTTCGTGAGAGACCGATTTCTACATCTTACAATTGATAAGAAACATCTCTTTTAAGCTTATCATTTAATATAGAAAGACTCGTATGAGGCATTCTATATTACATATCTATATATATATATCTTATGTGGTACCATGAACTCGGGTATTTCGTTATCTATTGGCAACACTATAGTTACTATTCTTTTTGTTTGGTTGTCTTAAGTAATAACTTTAGTTTTGAATAGTTAGTGATACTTTAAGCATTTATTTAGAATAATTTTGCTATATTTGTTATATAGAATAATTTTGTTATAGAATAAAAAACCTAGTTACGAAATAACTATATAGATTTATTTTTCATTTCCAAAATGGCTGTAAACATAAACGGTGCTATGGTGCAGCATACGGTCATATTAATTATCGGAGACGGAGATTACTCTTTTCGAGCTATAACATGTGTAAATATTATACGATACTCAAGTTATGGCCAGAGACGTGCGTGAGGAAGTAGTACAGCATTGGGAATAGTTTTCTATCTTAACAAACAACTGAGATGAAAATAATTTTAATACTTCTGCTGCCTTCTATGCTGAAATGTCCCAAACTCATATTTACGGTGATTTGGGTTATTCAATGGCTGCCGGGCACAGTTTAAATTATTATTAAAATTGAATACATGGAGAACTTTGACAATATCGTGGATCTTGAAAAGAGTTAAAATTGATATCAAAGTATTTCCGAATGAATGAAGCCGCGAGTAACAGCCAGACGGTAAAAAAATTAGGATAATATATTGATTAAAATTTATTAAGATGTTTGTTGTTAAAGAAGGTTGAAGAAGTAGAATATTTAAATACAGTTATGCTGTGCATTCGGTTTGGTTACCATTAAAATTTATATGTTGAGTAAAGTAATTTTAAAAAGTGACCAAGCTGATCGCCGAAGGTAGTTAGTAAATCTATATTGTGTGATGTTGCATTACATCATGCATTGCGTTATAGCTAAAAGCATAAGTATAATAAAATATTTATAACTTTTTAGTTTTAGTGTTTAGGTATTGTAATTCGATTCAGCCATATTTTATATTAGTTAGTTCTATTTTTATGTCAATTAAGATATAACGAGTAAATAAAGGATTTTCCTTAAATAAGTTTAGCAAAAGCTGAATTTTGGTGGAATCGTATAATAATATGTATACACTTTTTTAAAGTTTTAATGGTTTGAAAATCTAAAAATAAATTCCATAGTTAATGGATAAAAATATTGTTTCTATCTTTAAATGTTTTAACCAGTAAAATATTGAGAAATAATTTTTTTTTAGATATAATGATATGATTTTACGATACAAATTTGTCAATATTTACTTCGATGTCCTGAACAATAGTGCAAGGATTTTCTTACAATATAAAAAGTTTATTTATTTTAAAGCTACTGTAATCACCTGTTTAAATTATTATGCATTAAACTCTACTAATTCAATTGTTTTTATTGAGTTAATCCATTCATGGACAAAAAATTAGCGCACCAAGAAGGAGCCATCAAAATGAAACGAAATTTTACATACGTAATGACTACTTTGATATAAGTAAATGATTAGAAAATCAAAGAAAAAGGATAATTTATTTCAGAGAAAAAGGCAAAAGAACGGAGGAGTTAATACCCCGTTGGACCACCTCTAGCGCGAATGCACGATGCGATACGATCGGGCCTTGAGGCATACAAGTTCTGTATGATGTCTTGAGACATTTCGTTCCATATTTGCTGCAATCTTGCCTCTAGTTCGTTCAAACTCGTGGGATGCTCAACTCGCCGTCTCAAATGATCCCAGATATGCTCGATTGGTGACAAATCTGGGGATCGGGCAGGCCAAAGAAGGGCAGTAACAGTACGGAGACAGTCTTGTGACACCCTTGCCGTATGAGGCCGAGCATTGTCTTGTTGAAAAATGTCTCCTGGGAGCCGTTGCATGAGTGGCAACCCATGTGATTGCAGGATTTCATGGACATACCGCTGGGCTGTCATGGTGCCACGGAACAATACTAGCGGTGACCGTGTATTGTAGGCAATGGCACCCCATACCATCACACCAGCTGTGGGGGCAATGTGTCGCTGTACAGCAAGGGCAGGACTGAGGCGTTCACCACGGGGTCTCCACACACGAACACGATTGTCATCACTGCTGAGATTGAATGGTTATTGCTAAAGACGACCTGGTTCCATTCCGCTGCAGTCCAGTTTCCTCGTGCACGGCAAAACTCCAAACGGAGGCGTCGATGGGTGGGCATCATGGGCAGCACACGTAATGTTCGCCGCGATACCAACTGTCCTTCAGCCAGGCGCCTTCGTATGGTTCGAGAAGACACAGGGGCCCCTAGTGAAGGTGCTACCTGTGCCTGGATGGCGGCCGATGAAGCACTTTGCTGTACGCGTGCATTTCTTACGATGTGGCGGTCTTTTCGACGACTGGTCTGCGTGTACATGACATCTCTCGGGTCCACTGGTCCAACACCTCCTCACAACACAATCAGAGCGGTCTAATTGACGAGCTACTCGCCTAGCTGACTAGCCTAGCTAATTTTTTTGTGTTAATGAGTGTATATATCAGTAGAGAAATTAGTACAGAATATTTAGTAAAATTTAAAAAAAGATCTTTTATTTCAGATAGAATGTAACAATGTCTGGAATTATATAATTGTCTAAGAGACATGTTTTATATATTTCTTCATTTTATTTCAGTTGAATCATTTTAACTGGTAGATACTGAATTGGTGATTGATCTTTCTGTGGTTCAGGTCCAAATTACGATCTGGGGATAAATGAATAGAGTATGATTTTATTTTATTTTATAACCGTCGTTGAACAGCCGACCCAATTTCATGGGTTTACGACTACTAACGTTCAACTCCGTAGCCTTGTAATTTTGAACCAATCCAGAAGACAAGGAAACTCCTGGATCAGTACCCCCAGAGGTATTGATTTGTTGTGGGAACATGGAGGACTTTGAGACTCGACAGATTTAACGTGCATCAGTCACCATTTACTACACGGGGAGTCTTCGAATAGAGTATGATTGTGTTTTTCCTGTAAAACAGGCTGTGTAAGTGTGTGGCTGAAGTTGTATACTTGGCCACAGATGGCGCCACTTAAACGAGAAGCGCATCATTTGCCTTAAAAATTCGCTTGATTTCAAACAGGCTTGCTGATATTGGGAAGTGGCAAAGTAGCAACATTTTGAAGGGAATTTTTATGCAATGAGCGTACTCATACTTGTTTATAAAGGGTGTCTCAAAATTTGCCTAAGATTTGAGTCCAATAAAAGATAATTTATTTATTGTTTCCAACCAAAAAAAAAGGAAGAAAATAGTTAAACTACTGACAGTTTAGGGCTATTAAAAATACAAGACTACAATTAAAAGCAGCGCCTTTTCATTGTTGAAAGTTCGTGAAACAATCCAATGAGACATTCCTGGCCATGTACTTTCATTTTTCGGTGATCAGAAGTGGCCCCTAGGTCATGTGATTTAACACCACTGGATTTCCTTCTATGGAGTCATTTGAAGTCACTTTTCAAAAATATACCTATCCATGCGTTGAAGGAAAAGATTCAATGTTGCACCAATGAAATATAGCCATATTTATTCAAAATGGTCATTTTAATTAAAAAAGTGCGTATGCAAGGCTGAGGATATCATTAGCTTGATGTGTTATTATATACTTAACTCTATCCTATGTACTTTATGTTCCAGTAAAAAAAATTAGATATAATTGAAAAAATCTTTGTTTTCTATTTAGTTCAAATCTTGTTTGAGTTTTGGGACACCCTTTATGGTAAAGTGGCTCAGCTTTAAGAAACGTGTTTTCTGTTTCATTTAATACCTCAACGCAAAAACTAGATAACAATGATCATAGATAACCACACAGTGCAAATATTCTCTTACTAATAAGATAAGATTTATCAGTTGTTAAAAAGCTGAAACGATATAGAATGAATAAAATATTTATTTTGAAATAGTATGTATGAAGATAATTTTTACCAGATCGTAATGTCATGTAAAAATAAAGAAAAAAAAAGAATTCTGACGAAAGTTACTTTCAAAATCAGAGTGTTCCCGTAACAGCCCGTTGTTGACTAGGTCGTAGAAGTTAAGACTCCATAATTTCATTAACAATGGTATGATGATGGCAATAATGTCAGCTCTGCGCTTCCTTGCTAAGTTGGTACACATTGATTTGAAGCTGAGTTTACATTAAGCCTCCTCAAAGGATTAAACTCCTGTACTTCACAAGGACAGCTCAGTGCGTTAAACATTGAGTAATCGCCCTCAAAAATTACCTACAAAAATGATTTTTTTCTGGCATAGAATTTTTCATATTAATAAAAAAGGTTTATGGCCTGTCTAGAAAAACCATAACGCTATAGATGAGAGAAATTTGAGTGGATGCTTAAAATCCTTTATTTTAGACCAAATCGTTGCTCTGTCATCCTTCTGTTTAATGAACTTCGGTTTTCTTGCCTGCCATTTATGTGAGACCAGTCTGAAAGTTGTTATCGAGTTTCTAATCAATCTGGAAATTTTAGCTTGATGTACCTCAATATCGTGTAAATTTGTAACAACTTTATTACTATGTCAAGTTAAACCAGTTTATCGTGAAAATTAAAACATTCTAAACCAATTTATTGCACTTAATATTGCAGTTAATATTCCACTATATTATGATTTTGGTTGTGGATTTTTCTGAGAGTATAGAAGCGCATGATACTCAATGCACAACTCACGTGGATGATTTGAGAAATGAACTGACGTTCACCATAAGAAAACGTCTTCTCATTAATCTGGTTAGAAATGTATAGCTCTCAGCCCATTTAAAATCTTCAATGTCAATTAGAATCCTATTACATAATTGGTGGCAACATGGTCGGCGGCGAGAATATTTCAAGATTCATTCATTTACATTATCTTCTTGATCTTGATATTCACTAAAATTATTTAGAAAAAAAAATTACCTGTTTGTTCGTAATTTCTGACACAAAATTTCAACAGAAGAAATGTAGTGGACAAAAAACTTAGCATTCTTTTGAACAGTTTCATTTGAATTTATAGTAATTAATTTTGAATTTATAATAATTGATTTTTTAGAAACAACTATTTTTGAGAGTACAACATTACAAAACCAATCACCAACGACTACAACTGAGTCGCCTTGGCCTCCAGAGCTAAACTGTACTGTAGTTGTCCCAGTGTGCACCACGGCTCCCCCGGTTACAGAAGACGCAATGTTTTCTACAACTGAAGGATTCGAAAGTACGACCGTAGATAAGTTTGATGGATTAGATTTAGGTAATGATACTGAATCATCTGAAAATGCCACTTATCCCTTTCCATGTTGGAAGAGGTATCCAGATGATGATCTTCCCTGTCCAAAGAGCTGCCTGTCAGAAGACAGGCAGCAGAGGATGCCAACGCAAGAAGAATTGCTGAACATCCCCGAGTCTCTGAAGCAAGAGCTTCGTAAGAGATGCTGGGAAACTGCTTTTGGACAGGTAAAATAAATAAATAAAGTAATTAATTGAAAAAAGGTGTGGTCAAATGAAAAGTGATAGAATCAGAAATACACCTGGCCACCATAGAGAACCATAAATACCAACACTAGCATTCGTGTGTTTAAAAAACTGTTGGGAGAGTAACATCGCAGATTTCTGATTAACTATTTCACACTTCACATAAGAGCATTTAAAGAGGATATAAAATTGGGCTAAGAATGATGCATCTCAAACACTCGATTTAGAAGAGGCCTGATATCAGGCTCGTAACGTCATAAGACGAACGAAAACCTGATTTTCCACTTTCGATTATCTTAGCCTGCTTTGGTGAAGACAGCTTCACATCAGGCTAAAATTCAGGTGTATGATGATCGGTTTTTTACGTCAGGTGGTAATTTCTTGCTAATTCTTACTAGGTGGGGCTCTTAATAATCAAGAATAAACGGTGTAAATTTTACAAGCCTTTTTCCAGGCTTATGACTCCAAAAGATTGCTTACAGATAACGTTTTTCAGTCCTCGTGTAAATAGAGTTTAACAAATCAAAGTGAATTATCGCGATTTTTAGTGTAAGAAAATAATTGCACTATTTCTTTTCTCATATCTGACAGAATGCAGAAAAAAATGTTTCAAATTGTAACCTTCGATTTCTTCTGATCATTTCATGTACAGCAGTAATAAGTTTATTAAAGACCAAGATGTTTGCTTGCAGAGTTCTTATGTCAATACGTAATTGAAGTATTTTTTTCAAAAACGTTTAGACGATTTGTTCACGTCTTAGAGAATGCTCAGCCTCCTTACCACCAACAAACACTATTTTGAGAGAAAAGTCTTGCCCTAATTGTAGGAATATTTTATAATGTTGATGTGCTAGTCACAAAAAATTGCTTGCATATTTCTTTTTCTAGATAGTGCTTGTTCTAGATATAAACATCACTAAACATTTGACAATAAACGTTTGTATTGCGCGTTGTTTTGCTCTTGATGCATCCATTTCATTCCGATTTTACATTCACTTAATGTGCTCACATTCAAACTGGTTAATCAGTTATACGTAAACCACGGTGTATTGCTCTTACCTTTAATGTATAACTGTGAAGGGTGGCGCGATCACCACTACTGTACTTCTGACGCTCTCAGGCTTTCCACTTCTCATTTGGGTAACTTACTAATTTACCATTCTGCTAGTTTGCAGACCTTACATCAGAAAAAGTTTATTTCTTAGTCTTCAAAGAAAATTTTAAATACGTGAAATGCATTTAAGAGTTTAAAAGCTAATAAAGTTACAATGTCTTACAATTTTTTTAACTAGGTAGTATTGGTATCAAGATTGGTTTATAATCCTGTATTTTATTAAAAATTAATCTCTCTCTAAATTTGTAGCAGCGTTTCATAAAATGTCATTGGTATATGCATTAAGAAACAATGTAGACATGCATCGGAGAAAAACGTTATTATTTATATTATTTTTATGTCATAAGATTAATCAGTATGCTTTCGATCTTATAGGAGCTGGTGAAATTAACTGTCATGGATTTATTTATGACCGTTGGATCAACTATTATAACTGATTTTCTAAGAGCTGTCTTTGTCCGATACGCTAACAATTGCTGGTGTTGGGACCTGGAAAAAGGATTTGTAAGTAAAAAAAAAACTTATTACATAATAAATTAAACGTATGAAGTTAAAACGATTCAGTTGGATCTCAGAGCTTATATATTGTAAAATGTATACACCGAAGAGCCATTACATTATGACCACCCTCCATCTATAACAATGGGCTCACCCAGGTTTTCATGGTTTCCGTCCAGGAACAATGGCTTCACGGGGCACATTAGGACCCCTAATCCTCATAGAACAATCCCTGACGTCTGTAAGCTACTTGAACATAGTTGCAGACCAGGTTCACCCATTCATGGCAACAGTTTTTCCTGAGGGGGATGATGTTTACCAACAGGATAATGCACCATGTCATAAGGGTCGAATCGTCATGGATTGGTTGCAGGAACATTCCTGTGACTTTCAAGCCATGTCTTGGCCCCCAAATTCACCTGACCTTAATCCAATAGAGCATTTGTGGTCCTACTTGGAAAGCCAAATTCGTGCTGCCACGCCACCCCCTCACAATATGTGGGAATTGCAGGAGCAGTTGGTGAGCACTTGGTACCAGATACCTCAGACTACCTATCAATACCTCGTGGAATCAATGCCACTGCGGGTGCTAGCAGTTTTGAGGGCTAAAGGTGGTCCTACATGTTATTAGCAGGGTGGTCATAATGTAATGGCTCTTCGGTGTATATTAGAACTGATATAAAATTAAGCTATGGTTCAAGAAATTATATAATGTAGTTTAGTCTCTATCTGGATATTTTCTATTTATTTCAATAATCGAACAGTGTTTTTTTCATGAAATTTGTAGTTATTAATATATTAAATAAAAACAAATAAGAACTACAAAGAAAAATGCACTGTAAAATGCTTTTTCTTCTAATTTTTACTTTGATGGAATAAGATATTTTATTTTGAGTACAATATCTGCATTACGCACTTAAATTTTTTTATTTTTATAAAAATGAAATTAAGTAAATTTTTAAAAGGATTTTCTTTTTCCTTCTTACTTAGAATATTGTTTATTTAATCTCCTGAAACTGCAGCTTTAAATAACGGAAGAAAATGCAAACTTTACTTAGAAATATTCAGCGTAGAAAAAGTTAATGTCATAAACGCAAAGAATCAATTTAATCAAAGAATCAATCTAATCAAAGAATCAATCAAAGAGTCAATTTAAAGAAATCCATAAATGAAGTGTAATTGACTTTTTTTAGCTATTTTTAATCAATACAAAAATGAAAAATGTTAATTTTTAGCATTTTTTGCATATTGTAGGATATTGTTACAATTATTTTTTCTCATTTTAGTCGCGAAACAAAGTCAATTGGATTTAAATAATAAAATATTTAAATGCCACGAAACTGTCCAAAATTTTGCTTGAATTAAATTTTGTAAATTTCTTGCAATTTTGCATTATAATTAATACCCGATTAAAGAGTGCAAAACCAATTATATTTTTACATAGACGCTTGCATACAAACAGTAAAAAAATGTGAAAATATTATTTTTCAAATTATAATATTGTACTCACTTTATCCATTATATTGGACACCGTTTATCCAATTTAGTAGATAACATTTTTATTATTCGTCATATTAATTATTTTTTATTTCTAAATGGTGATAGATTTACAAATGTGTAAAAATATAATTCCTATTTACTTTTCAGCCAGGTTACGGAGACTTTAAAATAGCTGAAAATATCCTTCATTTAGTGAACAATCAGGGGTTAGTTTGGTAAGTGCATTTTAAAGTGTTAAAAATGCCAGAGCATAATTTATAATTCTTATTTTGTAATCATTTTTTTACAATGTTTTTAATATTCCATAGGATGGGCATGTTCTTCTCTCCTGGTTTGCCAGCGATCAATACCGTGAAGTTATGTGTTCTAGTGTACGTTCGAAGCTGGGCTGTGTTGACAGCAAACATTCCTCATGAGACTGTATTCCGAGCTTCCAGGTCGAACAACTTCTACTACGCCCTACTTCTCATTATGCTTTTCCTCTGCACTTTGCCGGTCGGATTTGCTTGCGTTTGGCTTCAGCCCTCATGGCACTGTGGACCATTCAGGTAATTTAAGATCTTTCTGATTTGAGATAAACAATATTTTAACATTCAAGCAACAGTTTACAAATGAAGTGCTTCATAAAGTATTGTTTGGCAATCACAAGATGAACTCTTGATCTAAGTGAAAGCTACCTTACTGAATGTACCATCTCGTGGTTGCAAGACAATACAAGTATTGTTTGGCAATCACCAGATGAACTCTCGATCTAACTGAAAGTTACCTTATTGAATGTACCATCTCGTGGTTGCAAGACGATACAAGTTTTTTTTTAAATGCATGTATTTGTTTTCGTATTAAGACATGACAGGAGGAGACTATAAATAGGATAGTAGGTGTTCGAAAAACGACTGATGACTAGAAAAATTAATTAAAGGAAAACAAAAGAAAGTACTTCCTAAAAAAGATTTGTGTTTTACTTCGAAAATGAGGTAATTTATATTCATCAAATTTTAAAACTAGTTGCAAGGTATAATGATAGATAAAGCTAATGATTGAATAAACTATACAATGGTGCTTTTGCTGCATATCAGGCTACTTCAGCTAAATTATTTGCAGAAATGTTTGTTATTTTTGTCCTCAGATTGCACAGATAGCTCGCCTCTCTTACAAATGGTATTTTATTTAAAACAGTTTATTGTTTTTACAGTTATCAGCGCTCACTATTGATAATCTTTACAGCTAATTTTGAAACTCAGTGAAAAAGTAAACTAATTACCTCAACAGAGCCAAGCAGAGCGCTCATTTCTTTCAGCTTTACTTCAATTGATTTTTTAAATCGTCGGTCATTTTCGGACACTTGGTAATCATCTTCTAAAACTAAACATAGTTACGTAAATATCAAAAAGCAATCAACCTGGTCACAATTTTTGATATTATTTTTACTCTTAGATATAGAGTTCACGCAATCAATTAATTTTCAAAAGTCGTAGTTAATATTTTAGAGTTTATTTCCTTTCTAACCTATGTTTTTTTATGACTTTCTAACTAATATAACTAATGTAGAGTAATACAAACAAAAGATTTTTTTGACGAGTCTATAATTCGAAGATTTTTCACATATAATGCGAAGAGGGCAGTCATTTTTAATGGAAGACAGCCATCTTGTTTTATTATTTAGAGTTTTCAATTTCTACAAATAAATTAATGTTTCTTAACTTAATTGAATGTATAAATGATTCTTGACTTAATTGAATGTATAAATAATTCTTGACTTAATCGAATAAATTAAGTTAATTTACACATACAATCTAATTTATCCTTGTTTCACACAGCACTCATAGACGTATATATAATGTGCTGACGTCATTTGTGTTGGGTGCATTGCCAAAATTCATGGTAGAAGTTATTCAATATGCAACTTCTCCTGGAGTGGTAATACCTCTTCTCCTTTTATTAATGTAAGTACAAAGTCACTTTAATATTGTTTCAGTGGGAATGCACATTTTCCAACTTTAGTTCTATAATTTTTTTTGCGTACATTTAAAGCACACTATCTACCGAGATAAATTGTGAAGCAATATAAAACAGCTCAGAATGTAAGGAACTGCACACAATAATTTACACTGAACTTTGTTAAGACTTTTAACTTGTTATTCTCAATACCAATTTTTATTGGATATCTCAATCACTAATTCAGAAACTAATAGGAATTTTTTTCTCAACATCTTTATTAGTTTCGTCAAGCAAAAATTTTAAAGCTGTTATTTTACACAATTTGAGAAAGGTGCATTCTCTTTCAATTTCAGTACCTCTCAATGTATTTAATTAATAAATCTCTCAATGTATTCAATTTATTTCTTTTTTAGATTGATAATTTATTATTTAGTGTCTTTAACGGGTTCCTTGCGAGAAGCGAATAATGATTTGAAAATGCAGCTAAGAAGGGTGAGTATAATCAACCATACAAGAACAATGAAATAATAAATTAAGATGTACAGTTCGCAAAAAGGGGAAAAAAAGCGAACACCCTGACTAAATTTTTTTCTAATGATAAGATTATCACGAACTAAGACTCAGACTTAGCGATTCGAAAGTTTAACTTAATTAGGCTTATTTTAATTAATTTGTGCAGACGATATTTTATAAAATTAGACACAAAAACTTTCTTCCTTTGGAAAAAATATAGTTATTTTCCAACGTATTTGAATTCTTAACTGTCAAAAAATATTAGGGGGACGGGAAAGTAATGTCGCTTTGGTGCATTTGATATTTGTTATCAAGATAATGCATTTGTTGCTTGTTATCAAGATTATTTGATATTTATTTTTAATCAATAATGTATTCACCCTCGTTAGCAATAACCTTTCAATGCCGGATGGAAAATGAATGGAAACGGATCGGAAAAAAATGAATTGGCTTTTAAGACTATGAAATACTTAATGCGCCAAAACGACGTTACTTTCCTGTCCCCCTAATAAATAAAAGCCGAAATATGGTTCCAATAGTTTAAGCGAGATCGTGGTTGAAAGTTTAAGTTTAAAAGTATTTCTCCAGCAAATGATGCGAATAAAAAAAATTAGCTCAATTATAAAAATTGTTTGTCCAAATATAATTCTGAGTAAAAAAATATTATTAATGTTATTTTTATATTATTTCATTACATTCACTAATGGCAGAAAAAATTGATATGTAAGATGTGCAAGTTTTTATACCAATTTTATCTAATTTTAAATGATGAAACCAAAATTTGAAGAGAACCGTTCAAATAGTACTTGAGAAAAAAAAGTTTAAAAAAATGAATTAAAATTTTTTTTTACTCATAGAATTTAAATTTTATTACTTAGAAATCATTCAACCACTTTGTTCAAATTTTGTATTTTGCTAATTAAAATTACATAGCTTAAGATGATAAAAATGCGCATGTGCAATTCAAAATTTATTTTGGTCATTATTAAATAATATAAGAAAGTGTAATAAAGTGTAATAAATAATTAAAAAAATAATTTTACCATTAGAACAAAAGTTATTCCGGGTGATATCTCCTTTTTGGCTGACTTTGTACTTGTTTAACTGACTCATTATGTTAATGAAATTATTAAAATTACAGGAAAAAAATGAAAGAGAGAAACCTCCAAAAGATGAGAAACGTAAGTAAAATAGTATATCGTATAATATTAATTTGGTTGGTCGTAATTTGTACTGTAATAAAAAAGTTGAGCTTAGAGATAATGCTGTAAATAGTATCGTTTATTTTTATTACTTGTATTTCTTGAAAAAAGGGCAATGTTAATTATTTTCTGTGAAGTTGTTAGAAATTTTCGTCACTATAAATGAACTTTTATTTCAAACATTTACAATACAAATTGTTTGATGTAGATCTTTCGTAATTAAGGGGGGACCCCACCCTGAGATGGTAAAATATTAACGTTTTTCTTGAATTGTTTTTAAGTAATAGAGACTATGCAGAGACTCCTTGTTTTTTTATGTTATTTAGCTACAATTTAAGTCTATTTTAAAAAATTTTCTTTTACAAAATAATAAAAAATAAGTTGGTGGCAGCTCCGTGTGTGGCTGGTCATCAAAAAGTAGCACATCACTGGCCTCATGAATTTAGAAGTCCTGAAACATAGGAAAACGATTTTGTTTAAATTGTTCTGAAACATAAAGACATTATCTAAAAAGTAGCATAGCGGTTTGTTGATATTCGCAAAATTACCAAAATGGCGGCAACTTAAAAAAAAAGTTAAGTTTTTCATTAAAAAAATATTCATTAAAATACTAATATAAAATCGAAATATAAAAATGTCAAAAAAAATCCTATGCTACTTTCTAAAGAATATATTTTTTACCTAATTTAAAATAAAGAACAGCTTATTTCGTTGTATAGATCATGAGAAAAACGTTAGGCCAGGTCAAAAAACAGCGTTTTGAGAAAAATGCGTTTAAAATTTTGCCATCTGGTAGGGGAAAACATTTAATTTCATGTATATAATGGTCGATAAATGAAATGCCTACAATAAGTTTCTATATACAGTCAACAGAATGGATGAGACACAAAAAGAATGTTGCCCCTCCTAATTCGGCCGAACGGGCCTTTTTTCCTGCTTATCCACGACTCTCTATTTTCCGGTATAACTTCCAAACGAAGTTAGGTACCAAGAAATCGTTTTAGACAGACGTTAGGAAGGGTACAAAGATTCGAAAAATGCAATAAAATTTTTTTCGAATTTTTGAAATATTCAAGGTGGGGTGAGTAAAAATAAATTCTGAAAAAAATCTTCTCAATCATTTACTTTTACACATTCTTTCTTTCCAATGTATGAAATACTACTTTATCAATTTTTGAAAGCTGCATTAAAACATATTTTATTGATATGGTATTTTTACTGAATTTATAATACTATTTTTAACAAAAAAAAAATTATTTTGTTATTTGCAGCTCCCGATGCTGTTGCACCAGAGCTACCTGAAGATATCACAAAATGGTCATCCGCTAAGAAAATTCTTCCTGTCTTACCGAACAAATTCAGAACATCGAGCCAGCTTTTGGGAGAAGAATCCGATGGTAGTCCTGAAACTCCTATGAAAAAGTCAGGTAAGAAATTCCCGATTGTATGCCTAAAACTCCTATAAAAAGGATGGTGTTTTGGAAGAAGAATATGATAATGGCCTGATACTTCTCTAAGTAAAGCAGAGTTAGGAGATGAATATGATCATACTTTTGAAATTGTACTACGGACAGAGTTTAGGGAAATGAATAGGACTTGAATCATTTTTTCTTCTTCGTCGTATGCCTGTTTAGGCAGTGGGGGTGCGATTGTTCCTGTTTTTCAGTGGCGCCATCTATGGCCAGGAATTCGACTTCTGCCACGCCATTCACACAACCACAACCCGTTTATAGGGCGGATCACATTCACACATACTTAAATCATTAAAAGTTTGCAAGAAAATGCATTTTTTTGGAAAAGAATACTATTATAGTACAGAAACTCCTGTAAGAAATTCTTTTCTTACAGGATGACAGACTCTTCTTTTATGCTTCGTCTTCGTGGGAGAAAAATACAACTGTAGTCCTTGGGAATGATATAATTGCGGTCATGGAAATTTGTAAGATGGGCAGAGTTTGTGAAAAAGAAATATAATTGCAGTTCTGAAATTCTTCAAAAATTGCAACGTACTCAAAAGAAATCTGATTGCTGTAGTCAAACTACCTTAATCATGGTAGGATTTCGGGACTTGAAGTTCCTGTAAGAGAAGCAGATTTTAGAGAAGAATATAATTATAGTAGAAAAACTCATGTAAGAAATTCTTTTCGCCCAGGATGACAGACTCTTCTTTTCAGCTACCTCTTCGTCACAGGAAAATATAACTGTAGTACTTGGGAATAATATAATTACAGTCTTATAAATTTGTAAGGGCAGAGTTTGGGGAAAAGAAATATCATCGCAGTTCTGAAATTCTGCAAAAAATAGCAAGGTACTCAAAAGAAATTTGATTGTTGTAATCAAACTACCTTAATTATGGAAGGATTTTGGGACCTGGAATTCCTGTAAGAGAGACAGATTTTAGAGAAGAATATGATTATAGTATTGAAACTCCTGCAAGGACAATCTTTTGAATAATTAGCATATGATTGTAGCTCTGAAATCTTATGGCCAGAGTTTATGGATAAGGGTATGAGTGTTACCTTCTATGCACAAGGGTAGAGTTTGTTGGAAAAAATATGATTAGTCTTAAAATTTTGAAAGAAGAGAAGCATTTTGAGAGGAAAACTTTATTGTTTTACTAAGAATCTCGGAAGAAAGGCACGATTTTGGGAAATGAATATGGTTGTTGTTTTGATATGTTTATAATAAAGAAAAAATTTTGTGACAAGAATATGATTATAATCCTGAAACTTCAGCAGGAAGATTCGAGTTCTTGGATTACGTTATGATTGCAGCCCTGAAAATCTGCAAGAATAGTGCATCGCATGGAGAGAAATATCTGATTATTATCTTATTCTTGTACTTTTAAAACTCTCATAAAAAGGGAAGAATAATATGAGCATTGTCCAGAAACTCATGTTAAAAAACTGATCTTGTGAAAACGAAAATCATTGCAGTTTTAAAACTTTGTAAGAGGAGCAGAATATTCTGAGAAGTATCAGATTGTTGTCCTGAAACTACCACAAAAAATGGTGTGAGATTCGGTAAAAGAATATTATTGTAGTCCTGAAACTGTTTTAAGAAGTACGGAGTTTGTAGAATGAAATTAGTAATTTGATTATAGTAGTATTCTTTCTTAAGTTTAAAAGCCATTTTTCACACTTATAATCTATTTCTGAATTTGCTAATTCAGGATAGGATTTTTTTTTAAAATTCCCATTTTTTAAAATTAGAAGTTCCATAAAAGGAAAAGGTTTTTCTTCTGTAAATATAAACATTAATGGAATACCTATGTTTATTTTCTGTATTTAAAAATCATTCTTTTTTAATGTTTGCGTTTACTCGTTTTATATTAAATAAATGAATGCTAGGAATAATGGAGTTTTAATAAAACTTTTTTTGAAGAAATATTTATTTTTATAAAATGACAATATATATTGTTGAAAATATAACTAAAAAGGATTTTGCTCATTGATTTGCTTTTAAATTAATTAAATAAGTCTTTTTAATGCATGAACTTCTGAACGATCTTTTAATGTTATCTTTTTTTGTAGGTAAGAAAGTTCATAAAAGTGGAAGAGGTGAGCATCCAGATGAACAATACGAAGGACCAGAAGACAAAAAAGCTCACAGAGAAGATTACCATAAAGATAGGTAAGTATATTACATGCCGACCGGCCTGTGTAAGGGGGCAGGGAACTGTCATTGCATCAGAAAGGTCCTGGGTTCGAATCCCGGGCAAGGCATGGATGTTACTTTCTTTCTCTGTGTGTTCTATGTCCTTTCTCCTTTGTGTGTGAATGTGACCCACCCTATAAATGGGTTGTGGTTGAGTGTCGATGAGTTGTGGAATTCCTGGCCATAGATGGCGCCACTGAAAAACAGGAACAATCGCGCCCCCACTGCTTAAAACAGGCATACGACCAAAAAAAAATGTGTATTACATCATTTTTAATGGACATAATTACTTTTAATTAAAAAAAAAGAACAGAAACTGTCGTAAGAATCTATACCTGTGAAAGAATTATTTATTAAAATGAAAATAAAACATACCTTCTTTCGAATAAAAGTTCAACGTTCATGAATCGATTTAATTTTGTCCGAGTTATGATAAATAATAATCGTTTATAGGTTGTACTTTCGAAGCTAAAGATAATTGATTAACGAGTGTTATAATCGAACTTAGTATTTATTTATCAAGCATTCTCTTTATAAAAAGTGAGAAAAAGATGATATCATTAAGTGATAGTACCCTGAGGCTTGTAATTCTGAATAGAACGAATGAATTTTCAAATATATGATATGTAGATCATGCAATAGAGGTTCCTGACAGAAAAAATAGTTTTAAGTTCTACCAACAGAGGACTCTGCTCTGCATAAACCGTAAGAAAATGAATAGCTTATTAAATTTCATTATAAAAACTATACGGTAACCAGCATGGCTACCAGATTTGAATTCTTCTGATTTGAAGATTTCACCAATAAAAGTTTATTAAGGACTAGTAAATAATGAGATAAATCTAAAATTTTAGCTACTTTAAATGTATAGTGTATGGCTGTTGATAACGCAGAGGTACGCTTTCTGTAAATTGTTGCCGGGAAACGTAGGCATATGGAGTTAAAGATGTGTAAATATATAAAATGTTATGTTATTTTTTAATTTTTGAGGTGTAGTGCTTCCCTTTTTTTTTGTTACACCACCAGTTGATAAAATTTCAGATTATTTTTTTTCCGATTTAAGCCCCAGTCGTAAGATGTGTAATACATATTAGAAATTTTCTTCAGATTAGCTTAATAGATCAAGAACCATGAATATCTCAGTACTATCAGTTTAATTTTAGTCAACGTGCATAATACACCTTAAAATAACGATAATACGTTTGATTGTTTTAAATAGATGATTTATTTCTGATACGATTTAAGCAGCATATCACCATAGTGAATCAAGTTTAACTTTGGAATATTGAAGTCAATTCGAAAAACAATATTGAAATAGCCTCGTATTGAGAGGAAAACCACGGACGTATATTTCAATCAGAGAAATGACAAAGCCATTTTAAGACATTATCCGTCTATCTTCGGTTATAATTAATGAAAGCTATTATAAGTTATGGCCAGTAATAAAAACTGATGAGCTCTTGTAACAATCAAGTTTTGAGCTATAAAAGTTCGGATTAATTCTACGCTTATATTTACGAAATTTCTAAAATAATGCATATTCTTCTAAAGTTTCGTAAGAGTACAAAATTTTGTTGACTGTTTCGAAGTGATACAAATTAAACATGTCGTTAAAATATATAAAGAAATTGAGAAAAACTCGGCGTAATCAATGCATTTAATGTTCATTCAAGTTCAAGGCGTTAAGCAATTTCCCATATTTCCGATATTTTAAACCAGTTCAATCGTAAGACTTGGTCTCAAGCTGTTGAAAGCTGACACATATTTACTAGAAATAATGAAAGGCAATGGTGTAATACATTGAAATGGTACCATACCTTTATAATTTCTTTTCAGATCTGGTCATCGTCCTTCGCCAATGTCCACAGAATCGCATAAATCTTCCTCAGATGGTGAAGACAGGCGATGGATTCGAAGAGGAGGAATTACTGGAAATGGAGATTTACCGCTCATTACCATAAGTCAGGCATCTGAAGGCAGAGGTAATTATTTGATTAAAATTCAAGTAGAACAATAATTGTCAAAAACAGAGAGGATAGAGCAAAAATTTTTGATCAAACTACTTGAAATATATACTATTGTTAGTATTGTTAAATAATCTTCTTAAAAGTTAAAACATGTATGATAACGGCGCACTTGAATAATCTCTTTCCAATGTAGTACTTAACATTATCTTTAAAAGTTGTAGAGTGTATCAAGACGGTAAGTTGTTTGGGGGCATCTTAACTTCATAAAAGTTTGAATTGCAAAAGAACTTTGGTGCTGATGTGTTTTCAAATCCATCAATAATTATTCTTGATGTTTTATTTCGAAAAAATTATTTAATGATATTTCATTACACTACTAGATAACAAAATAAAGTAAAATTAATATGAATAATGATCGAGAAAAGAAAAGAAGCAGGCAAAGAAGTTTATATAGAAACAAGGACTGCACCGTTGACAAACGTTAGATCGATCCTTTAACCTCCCCAACCTTTTTATCACTGCGGACCTGTCAACGTTTGATAATTTTACCGCGGCCCGTAGGAGGGGGTGGGGACGTTGATTGTTTATATTTCAGATTATTTTGATTTATTAATTTTAATTTAATTGTATTTAAACATGCCTTCAAAATAAAATACAGTTACACCAAAAAATAAATATAAAGTGATTTAGCATTTTAATTTACTAGAACAATAAATTAATGGGCACCCTGAGCTTGTTTCTTTGCAATGAGATGGTTCCATCTGGGGGTAATCGTTTTAAAACGTTTAAAAATTTATGTCACTACCTTCGGGAGCCCTTTTTTTTAAATAAATAAAATAATGTAACACAGATATTTTTAATTTTTGGTATAAACCTAGGAATTTAAATTCAGTTTCAATGAAATGTACGGCCCGGTACCATTCATTTGATCCACAGACCGGTACCGGTCCGCGGACCGGGGGTTGGGGAACACTGCTTTAACCCCTTTCTTCTCGCTTCCGTGATATATCCGGGCTGAAGTGTTCAGTAGTAACGGGTCAATAAGAATAAAACTAAATCATTTCTTTTGCCCGACAAACATTTTATTTCTCATTTTGCTCACCAGATGGCAGTACCAGGATATTTTCGAGCTAATTGTAGATAGTTAGTTTATTTTAAACTAGATGTCAGCACTAATCAAACACGAAAATAGTTTTCAGGAATAAAAAAAAATAGGCACTTTTCAATATTCTACGTTCTTAAATGGGAAAAATTCTCGCAAAATATCTCGTAGTATATTAATGGGTTTTTGAGGTTGATTTCGGATTTATTTTTAATGATGATTCAGAGACAAAACTGGTTTATGCGCATACTATGCTATCAGTATTTAGACCGGAGGGCTGATGGTGGCAGTAATCACCCTACCTCCACACCAAGTGCCCCAACTTACCAACAGTGTGTGGAATTTTCCGAAGCAGACATTGCGTGAGACTGAACTTTGCATCAGTAAGGTACGATTGATAAGTTCCAAAATTGAAAGCCAACTTCTTAAATATTTTTAAAAATAGAATAAGTGAGAGAGTAACAATTGAAAAGAAATCATTAAAATCCAGTAAACCAGTAATCATTAAAAACAAGTTTACTTTTTTTAAAATTAAGTTTTATTTAAACAACTCCTCATGCTCCACAATGTATAGCATGAGGCTTACAGAAATAAGTGGGCAAAGTGCAAAAGAAAAAGAAGAAAAAAATTACAAAGAAGCAGAACAAGAATTAAAAGTTTAAACGGTACGCAAAATTTCGCGAAATAGTAAGGTATCCAGTGCACATGACTAAAGAAGATAAAACAGGTGGCCAATAAATTCCAGAAAGTCTCAACTCCTTTCTTAAACTCTCTCTTTGGCTTGAGCAAAGCTTACAGTAAAAAATAATATGTTCAACAGTTTCAAAGTCCTGTTCACATGAGCACAGATTATCATTAATTAAATTAAATTTAAACAAATAATTTTTAAAATTACCGTGACCAGTAAGAATCTGGGACAGCTTAAAATCAATAAACAAGTTTACTTAACCAGCTGTTTTTAATCAGGAGTGGAGGAGCTTACCTCTTGTAGTGCATAAAAAAAGTTTAAGTGCTGTATTTTTTTAAAAAAAAATTAAACAAGCAGAAATTTATTCAGATTTTAGAATAAATATAATTATTTGTAAAATGATAGTGTAAAAACGCAATAATTACACTGGGGAACAATTTCATTTTATTTTCTGTTGCATGCTATTTCGAATGAATCTTGGATAATTTTGGGTAGTGATTTTAAATCTATAATCAGTTTCTCTCTCGGAGCTACAGTTTTTATTAAATGACATTTTTTGTAGAAATATACAAGCTTAAAAACGTTTATGTAACAGGGGATGGCATAAACGTTGCGACAAACTTCTCGGGGAGTTAAGGCACATCATCAGGATTAGAATGGCATATCAACCCGACAAAATGTATATGCGACAATATATATGCGACAAAAATTTGTTCCACAGTATTATCAAGAATAATTGTTGTACGTTTATTGTGTACACGAAATTATCGTCCATCACCTAGATCCAAGATAACCTCAAATATATTAGGTTTGCAGCCGACCTGGTGGTCGAGTGGTTAGCGTGCCTAACAGCGGAGCCGCTGGTCGCGGGTTCGAATCCTGCTCAGGGCATGGGCGTTTCTTTCTCTCTGTGTTCTATGTTTTTTCTCCTTTGTGTCTGATTGTGTAAATGTAACCCGCCCTATAAACGAGTTTGTGGTTGTGTGACGTGGGCGACGCTGCTCCACCACCGTGGCTTCGCCGCAGGTGCCCAGTGGATAACGAGAAGAGAGTAGCATTTCTGTGGCCAATTAGACAACCTCCAAGTGCCCGCCATTAAAAAAAAGATTTTTTTATATTTGGTTTGCATTTAATTCTTTGATTTCGTATCACTTAATATTTTCCAAATTAAGATATGAGTAGTACCATTAATATGTTAGAGGGGAGGCCTTTAACCACATCACTATTCAAAGAGAGGCAGAGTCTGTGAGGTAGAGAACCATATCACCAAGTTTTTATAAATTCTTTTACTAAAGCATATTAAGTTTCTTAATTTCTGCAGATTCTCCAGGACAGCTTTCCAGTTTAAATTCTTCAGAAGAAGCAACTCCGCCCTCTAGTACGATATCCAGAAGACGTCCAGGACTCATTCCGTCTGTTAGTGAACAGGAAGAGGACGAATATGTGGAAGAGGATGAGGAGATGACGATTGAGATTCAGGATCACACACATTTTGAGCCAATCCAAGACGCGCAAGAAAATGGCGAACAGGAGGAAATGTCCTTCAGGCCTGATGTAGTTGAGGTTCCACAAGAGGAGGTCAGAGACTATGCTGCTACAAAGGCTTTGACTGGTAATACGAAATCATCTTTTATAACTTTGAATTCAAGTGTAACTTTTTAGAACCTTTTAGAATATTTACGGGATACATTTGCTAAGGTTGCTGGTATTACAAAATAATCTTTTATAGCTTTGAATTCAAGTGTAAATTTTTGGAACATTTTAGAATATTTACGGGATAAATTTGCTCAGATTGTTGGTATTACGAAATAATCTTTTATAGCTTTGAATTCAAGTGTAAAATTTTAGAACATTTTAGAATATTTACGGGATAAATTTATTTGCTAAGGTTTTGTAATAATAAAATACATTTTTGTGGGAACTGTCAAGTTATTGACCGAAAAAATAAAGACAGTAAAACGCGTCAGGTTGTCATGAATCTTTAAAAAACAATTGGCAAAGGCGTTCTGGCTAGCTGCATAATAAACGTTTTTAACTTACTCTGAGAAAAATCGGTTTAACTTTGTACCAAAAAATGTAAATTTAGATAAAGTGAATTTTCAACTAAATTTAAATTTAGTTAAAGGGTATTTTCAATTAAGTTTAAATTTATTTAAAGTGCATTTTCAATTAAGTGTAAATTTATTAAAAGTGTATTTTCAATTAAGTTTAAATTTAGTTAAAGTGTATTTTCAATTAAGTTTAAATTTAGTTAAAGAGTATTTTCAATTAATTTCAAATTAGTCCAATAAACTGTTATATTTCAAAAATAATTGGATCATGTGAGAAAACAAATTTTTTAAAGAACGGTTATTAAAGGATTAAAGGATTTGAATTGAGAATTTAATAAGTCGCTAAATTTATGCATGCTTTTGATTCTAGTTGAACCGCTAGTAATCACTAAGATAAAAAAAAATGAAGTTGCTTTTGTAAGCTCTAGAACAAAGAGGGAAAGTTGCGCTATTAATCACTTGAACAAACAGCAAAAGTTGTACCAAATTTTAGAACTAGGAGCAAAAGTCGCATTAATAATCACTAGAACAAAAAGTGAAAATTGCACTAGTGCTCATTAGAAGTAACAAAAAAAGTCACACTAGTAATCACCTGAACAACTAACTGCAACTTTCACCAAATGTTGAAAGTTGTACCAGCAATTTTAAGAACTAAGAGCAAAAGATGCGTTAGTATTCAGTAGAATTAACAGAAAAAGTAGCTCTTGTAATCACCAGAACAAAAAGGGAAAGTCGCTCTTGTAATCACTGGAACAAAAAGTGAAAGCCGCACTGATAATCACTGGGCCAAAAAGTGTAAGTCACACCAGTAATCACCTGCGCAAACAGAGAAAGCTGCTCAAGCAATTATTAGAAATAACTGCTAATTTCGCTCTAGAAATAATAACTTGAACAAAAAGTGAAAGTTGCAGTTGTACCGAAAATTTCTGGTTAAAAAATTCATCGACTTTCCTAATGTTTTACGAAGGGAAAATTTTTAACTTAAAAAACCGTAACTTGAAAAATACATTGCTAGTGAAATACATATTAATATCTACGATATTTTGTTTTATTTATTACTTTTTCTGTCTTTATTTAAAAGTTAATATTTTTCAATCGAATTCATTCTATGCTTTTTTTTTAAATTTTAGTTGCATTTTCATTTGTGATACTATGGAATTTTGAACAAAAATTTGTTAAAATAAATATTCGTCAAATTATTTAGTTTTTGAAACAAATTCATGTATAATATTCAGATTTGCAATATGGGTAAATATAGCATAAATACGTTTGAAAATGGACGATTATTTTCTTTTTAAACTGAAAAATATAATTCATAAAAATTTAGCTTTGTCTTCGTACACTAGAAGGAAAATGAGATAATTAATGAAACGACGTAATTCTTAATTTTTATTCTACTTATGATGCTGCCATCTATGAGATATTTATGAGAATTTTTTTATTGAAAGTAAATCAAATTCGAATAAAATATTTTAAAACAATAATTTTGATACATATTAATTTTATATATATAGTCATAGCGTTATCATTGCTTTGGTTGTTTCATTATTTTTTTTATCGTATTTATTTCAGGAGAAGGGTACACATGCGTTTTGATCAAGAAATGTTGTGTAATAATAAAAACACGTTAAAGTACTTCATTGTGGAAAACGTGTTTTTATAATAATAGAAACACAGTAACGTATTTCATTGTGAAAACGTGTTTTGTAATGGAAAGAATCCATTAAGATAAAATGAAAAATAACTGAAGAACCAGTTTGAGTATAAGAATTTTTCTGAATTTGTTTTTTTAATACAGTTTAATCACGTTTTATTTCAATTTTTCTTTATTTTAATCATTGATATAATCTTAACTTATAATAAATCAATGAATTAATAATTATAATAAGCCTAATTACAGTGCATGAAATAACATTCTAAAATTATTTTCCGAAAATCGAAATTTTCTAAGAGTTACAGCAACAAATACAGAATTGTGTACTCAAGCAACGAATTTTCAAACTTCAAACGTATATTTCAAAAAATCATTTATTTTTTGAGCTCGTCCCATCAAGGTTTCAGAAATTGTTCTTCCGATTTCTATTTTGTTTATAAAAATTTATAGAATGTAAGGTTTTCGTTCGTATTCCTACTTTTGAATTTTGATCAAGATTAATTATTTTTTATTTTTAAGTAAAATAAGAGCGGAAGAAGTTTGTAAAGAATGCAAAACTGGAGGCAAAAAAAATTCCTAGAATTCAACTGTTTGGACTTTCATATAAATTGAATAGAAATAGGAGAAATAATTTCAAATCATCGATAGAAAGTGATTGAAAAATATTTATTCCGAAAATTATTATTGAAATTTTTGAGATTTGTACATGCTGTTTGCTACCAAACTTTTTAATATTTACTGTAACTCTTTCAAAGCTTCAAATTCCTCCTGAAATTCATTGAATACATCGGATTAATCCATTCTGAGATCTTGAAAAATTTAGATTATTGGTAAGTGTTTCATGTTACACAGCTGTATAATGGTTGGTTATAGTAACTCTTCAAATATTTCATTGAGCTCATTCTGAAATCGTTTAAATCCATTAAATTAACCCATTCTGAGATCAAGAAAACGCGATTAAATTTTGAAGATTTGTATGTGTTTTATGTTACACAGCTCTATTTTGGTTGGTTATTAACTCTTTAATTCTTTCATTGAATTCATTCTGAAACTTTTTAAATCCATTGTTTTAACCCATTCTGATATCTAGAAAACAGATTGAAGTTAAACGATCCATATGTTGGTTAATCTAACTCTTCAAATATTTCATTAAAATCATTCTGACAACTTTTAAATCCTGTGGATTAACACATTCTGATTTAAAAAAAAGCGATTGAACTTTGAAGATTCGTATGTGTTTCATGTTACCTAGCTCTGCATTGATTGGTTGTTCTAACTCATCAAATATTTCATTAAAATCAGTCTGAGATCTATTAAATCCAATCGATTAACTCATTCCGAAATCTAGAAAATGGATTTAAGTTTGAAGACTCAGTATGCTGCAAGTTACAAAACTCGTTAATGATTGCTGTAGTGCTTCAAAAACTGAATCCATTCTGAAATTCATTTAATCTACAAGAACATGTTTTGATATTTAGACATTTAAAAATTGAAAAATACGAGCTGAATTTAACACAAATATTCGATATTTCGAAGCAAGAAAATTTGGAAAGACTTTTGCACATTATTTTTCATATTTTAAGCTTTTCAGTTGTGCAGGAAAGCTAAATATTATAGCTATATAATGAAATTATTTTTTCTTTTCCAAGGTTGTGCAGTGGTACCTCGCATACGCAACATAGACGAATCATCCTCAACAGAACCTGATAATGAAGACTACAGTAGCAAGTCTACTTTGCCTATGGCAAACGTAGGCACTATTAAAAATAATGTGAAACCAGTTCGCTCTGGTCGCCAGGCTGCTCTCCAAAGATCCAAAGCAGTCAAAGGCAGTGACAGTATTGGGAGCATTGATTCTAATAGTTTGAGACCACCATCTCCCGAATCTGATGCTAAGTGAGCAAAATTTATCTATCTATCTATCCTGCACATTTCCCTTAGTGTCATTTGTTTTAGTGTAAAACAATAAATAAAATGCAATATTTCCCTAATCAATGTGGCAATATGTCAGATGTTTAAATAGATATAAAAGCATATCTGTACTTTTTATATATGTTACCGGCATATGAAACGCCAGCATTCTATAGAATGCCTAGGCATTGTATATAATGCCGGATGTTTTTAGGCAAAGTATGAAATATGAGAAGTATTACATACTTTCCAGAGGCATTGTATATAATACCTAGGCATTCTATAGAATGACAAATGCCATTTAGGCAAAGTATAAAAAAACGTCCTTATGAGGTTGTTATATGCATTTTTGAAAATTAAAATGTTATTCTGAAAAAATAATGAGAGTGCCTTTAAAAAAATTGATTCAAAATGCGTGAAGAGAAATGAAAGTTGTACAAAACATAATTTATGTCCTTCTTGTTATGGGAAACAAAATTTTGATATAAAAAATAAGAAATTGACCTACTTGTTGCAACATGACAGGCTTGACCGATATTCTGAATTTGACATTTTCGAATGACGTTTTAACGAATCAGAAATGTATTTTATACTTTGCCGGTTTCTCATTTGGCATTCTATAGAATGCCTAGGAAATGTGTGAAATATAAATCATTTCATACTTTGCCGGCTAATTTTAAGCATTATATACAATGCCTAGACATTCTATGGAATGCCGGATTTCAAACTTTGCCGGTAACTTATACACAAATTTTTAAAATTTATGAACAATTAGGTCCTTAATTGATTCAACGCCAAGAAATACTTCTGAAACAATGCCGCACTTATCTAGATAGGGATATTTAACCTCTCTTTTTCAACAAATTCAAGATGATGGCAAAAACTTACCTCGAAGAAAGGAAACAATTTTAGATCTTCACATTGGACCTAAAATGGAAGTTTTTAATTCTATATTCTTTCTAATTATTTTCATATTGAGCTCTTTTTATGACATTAGAACTGGTCTTAAAAAGTTTATACTTTTTTTTGGGAGAGCAATAGGAAATGACGTCATTTTAATTTTAGTAATAAGTTTTATACTAAGAATACATTTGAAAATAATTAGCAATAGACAGATTTTGTATATACTTTGCCTTACTTCAATTGTAACCCTAATCTTATTTTCTACCTCTTAATGACACTGATTTATAGGGAATGTTTTACGCATGCTCAATGAAGCTCAGATAGCGTTAACGTTGGAGTTACGGGAAACCATATCGCTTTGCAAAATCTCTCCAATAACATAAATATTTAATTTGCCCAGTTTACTTACTTTACTTAAAATATACATAAAAGAAAACTACGATATATAAATGAAGTATTTATTTATAAAATTTTTTCTAGGCGAGCAAAAATACAAAGATTAGATACAGATTCCTTGTGAATGATATGTAAGTATACAAAAGTATGAATTTATTTTCAATGTATCACATACATAAAAAATTATGATTATTTATAAACTGTTTGATATGTATGAATAAATCAAATTGCATTTTAATATTATTTCTGATATTATTAAAGTACTGGTGGTCTTAAAAATTAATTAAGACTTATCAGAGTTAATATCTTTGCATAAAAACATTACAGAAATATTTGGACATGCCTTTAATATCAAACGGGCATGCATTTTTATTAATAGAAAACCTATTTATAGTTTTCTATAACTGTATAAAGCTATAAAATTTAGAATATTTCTTACTGAAGGAAAGAAAAATATATTTAAATTGATCATAGAAAAAATTTAATTTGAAATGCATAAAAATGCATAAAAATTCATTAAGCATAAAAATTCATAAACAGTGTTTAAGTAACTAAACCCAAGAGAAAAATTATTTATCTTAAAATGTATTAACAATGACAAAGGAGCTAAAATTTAAAAATTATCCTCGGAAATTTTTGTTTTTTCTTGTTTTCTGCTGAATGAGATTTTTTTTACGGATCTTGAATACTTTGAAGTCTCTGATATCAAATTTACAACCAGTTTCCTTTCTAAGCTACAGTTTTTTAAGGACATTTTTAGTCTATTTTTTGTTTAAAAAAAGCAAAAAGAAATGCATAAAATGAAAAATATAAGGAATTAAAATAAATGGTCACCTTGCCAGTGTGGTGGGTGGAGTCGTTACCTACAAAAATTGTGACAGTGGTTCGATTCTCTTGATAAAAAGCTAGATGCCTGGATAAACTGCATTTTCTCCTAATATCTCCGGCTCATAGGTCCCCTAATATAACGTACCCACTGATTTCGAAGCCATATGAGGCGAAATGTCTAAAAAGGAATTATAAGAGTCTTTATTTTATTTCTTTAAAATTACTGGATCTCTCGTGAATATTTTTCGGTATTTTGAAAGAAACTTATCGATTTCAATTCTCGGCAATTTTCAACAGACTCATAACAAATGAGTTTTTGCAGATTTTCAAATATTTTTAAAGAATTTTTTTTTGTAGTGCAGGAATCATGAACGAATATTCTCATTAAAATAAAATATACAATCCACATACCTTAAAAAGTTATTAAATAAAGTGTTTCTTGCTTATCCATTTGTAATAAGATGTTATTGTTTTTCTGCTTGTAGGTTTCTAAGATCTGATTACAGCATGGGTTTCAGAATCTGATGAAAATGGTGGCCGAAACTTCCTTTTTCAAAGAAAGATACAATTATTATTATACATCTTGAAGTGTTATACATTTGAGTGTTATACTCTTTCGTACAATACATATCTTTCCAGTTCTATATCATATTTCTTCTCTTTATTCTGTAATAATAACAAGTTTATAACTTTTCATAAGAACAAATTAGCTGAATTCTATCTACAACAATTCTTTAATTCAGCTTAGAGATGATCATTCATTTTTAATCTCTGCATACTAAGACCTCATATAAATAAATAAAAACGTTTTATGGCAAATATTTTGTTATTGGTTTTTGATATTATCTTTAGGCTATGCACTTCTGTATTATAAATAAAGTAGAGAGGTAGAAATTAAAAAAAATAATCACTTGGTTGAAGGTACTGTAAAAAATTCCGGATCAAACTAAGAAGTACCGACACTCAGGGTGTCAGTACTTTTTACCGTAAAATATATTTTTACCGTAAAATTTTACAGAACAAAAAATAGTATACATCGAAATTTTTACGACAATGTCCGACATAAAACCACTGAATTACTGTAATTAAAGGAATATTACTGCAGAAGAATATCGTGTGAAACTTTACGGTAAAATCTATTTTTTGAATACTGTACTTAGGGTGCCAGTACTTTTTTACCGTAATTTCAGCCGGAGATTTTTACAGTGCTCTAACTGAAAGGCATTACTAGTCCGTCTACATTTTTACATATCCGTTTACGTATTTCCATTAGATTTTTTAAAAATAGTTAACAATGTGAATTTAAATGAACAATTAAAATGCAAACAATGTGATATGTCACATTTGTGATTAATTATGCTATTTTGTGACAAAAGCACAGAACGAAACTTGAAGTCGAAAATAAATAAATAATAAAACATCATACTATCCCTTTACATCCCATTACATGAGAACCATTGTCAATTATTTTATGGCGGTCCGAGTGAAATTTTAGAGATCACTGACCAACAGACCACTGTTAATTTTGAGCCTTGAAGTATAAATGGAACCTAAGCATACACTGTAAAGAATTCCGGATCGTATTACGGTGAAATGTACTGGCACACTGGGTGCTGGTACTTTAATCATAAAATTTTACGGAACACGAAATTTGATGTACCGTAATTTTTATAGTAATATTCATTGCAAAATCACTGAATCACAGTAGTTAAATGGTTATTACTGTAAACTATATGGTATAAAATTTTACGGTAAAAATGGATTTTACGGTAAAATTAATTTTACGGATAATACACACATGGGGATGGTACTTTTTACTGTAATTTGATCTGGAAGTTTTTACAGTGCATTATGCAGCAGAAAAATACAATTGACATTTTTAATAATTTTTTATATTGGAGCTTAAGTTCAATACTTAGCAAGATTTTTGGACTTTCAAAACAAGATTGACTGACTGGAAAACTCTGAAACTTCCCAAAAGCATAAATTTAACAATTCATAGCAACTTAAGTTTAATACTTAGCAAGATTTTCTTACTCGCAAGAAAAGACTGACTAATGCACTGGAAAACTCTAAAACTACCCAAAAGCATAAATTTAATAATTGATAGGAGCTTAAGTTTATTATATAGCAAGATTTTCTGTCTTTAACAAAATTAAATGTAATAATAATAACTACATGTATAGTTCACATTCCAACTGATTAAAGAAAACATTACTTGCTCTGATTTACCAATTTTCATTCTATTTTGGCAGCTAGACGTAACGAAAAAGTTAAGGGTGTTTATAATGGTTCTCTAACTTAAAAACTGTAGTAAATTTATGCATACTCATTAAAATTTTTTTGACTTATGAATGTAATAAAAATAAAAATTGTAGTGTAATTCAAAAGTACTGAAAAAAACATTCGTAAATTTTATTCCAAATTGTAAAAATGTGATAAAAATTCAAAAAATAGAAAATAAAAGTGATAAAAATATTTTTAAGTATAAACTTGTTAAAACATATAATATAAATTTAAGCAATAAAAAAGATGAACTTTTGAAAATATTTGAATATTGTGTTTAAAGGAATCATATCAGTTAAAATAAGTTCTGCAGTTCCATAAATATCAACAATCGTTATAAATACCTAGAAAAGTATTTGAAATTTTGTAAATGTTTTTGAAAGATGCATCAGATTATTTAAATTTTTTAAATTAAAAATCTGATATTTGGTCGTTGGTTACGTCTTCAAAAATTTCAATGTTAAACTGTAAAATGTCATTATACCGCCAAGATTTCAATATTAAAAAGTTTTTTTAATATTACATTTAAGTTAGAATTTGTACTTAGATAATATAATTAAGTATTTCATTACTTAAAAAATTCAATTTTACCTCAACAGTATTGGAAATAAGTATAATATTTTTGTAAAATATGCATTATCTCAAAAAAACTAGTTTTAATTTTAAATATCGTTTTTTAGTCTGCTAAATTGCTGTAAAATTGATAATTCATTAAGAAATGATTAAAAGAATTATGCATTTCGTCTTTAAATGTACTCTTCATACAAAACTGATTCTTACTATTGTTTCCAGATGGGTATTTTATAAGTTTTCGTAATACCTAAGAGCAGCACAATACTCAGGAAAATCTTATGGCCATCAGAAAAAGCATTCGTTTTTCAAGAAACAACTCCCTCAATATTAGTAGATTATTATATTGTTCCAAACCCTTCAAATGAAATTAAATAAACAAATAAATTTCATTCTTACCAAAAGTAGTTCATGTGTTGTTTTTCTCGATAAACCTCTCGGATTTGATTTGATTGATTGCACTGCATATTTCTTTTTCTTATTGCACTGTTAAGTGGAAATTCTATTTATTTAATTAATTAACTACATTTATTGCATTACATTAATTGATAAACTACATTTGTTTCAAACATTATGAAAGCAGAAAAAGTCGACAATATTTTGAGCGCTCAAAAACAGTAATATTTTAAATTGGGGTCTGTTTTCCTGAAATGTTTTCGTTTTATCGAAACCAATGTTTTTCGCAATGTTTTTTTCATCGTTGAACGAGTTTTTCTCTTTAATTACCAAATCTTCATTTTAAATATTATGGATAGTAAAATATTAAATACATTCCTAATGGCAAAGTACTCAGTATATTCTTTGTTGTCGGTGTCGTCGGCCATTGAGGCAAAGTGGTGCGATTGCTCTTGTTTTCCAGTGGCTCCATCTATGGACAGGAATTCGACTTCTGCCACACCCATACATCACACCTGCCTGTTTTTAGGGCAGAATCATTCATACATCCATTCCATCATCCACAGATTCTAATTTTAACCTGGACCAGAGAACGATCAATCACCAATTTAGTATCCCCAGAGGCATATTTTGTTAGGGAAACACGGAGGGCTTTGTGACCCGACAGATTTAACGTGGACCAGTCACCATTTACTACATGGGGAGTCTTCGGCTTGCTGGATTCGAACCCCTGTTCTCACGAACGTGAGTCCAGTACCCTGCACGTATATTTTTAAAAAAAGACAAATCAATTGAAAATAATTAGTCGAGTGCAAGTAAGGTAAGTAGCCACGCATAAGAATAATTCCTTGCATCGATTATACCAGTAGAAAAAAAACTCTGGTAAAATTACCGTACTATATGGTAATGACATTTCTGGCAAAAAAAAAGAAAAGAAAAAACAACGTAATTCTGATTAATAAAATCAAAATATACGGTATTTAAACCATTTATTTGGTAACTTTTCTGTTCATATGGTAACGGTTTACCGGAATTTCTGATTTTTAAAATTATAGTTCTTGTTAATACACATTTAGTAAGAAATACAAATTTGTAAAGCAAATTTAACCAAATGAATGGTTTTTATACCATGCTTTGAGCTATCATAATAGCTATTAAGTTTTACCACATCTACAAAAGCTCATCGTATATTATAAAACCATATTTTATTGTTAATTTTGCCAAATTTATTACCAAGGAGCTTCGGTAAAAATTAATGAGCCTGTGTTGTTCGCAAAGAGCCGATACGGTAAATTTTATCATATTCTGCATGTTATAACCATATTTTTTTTCTAAATGTAGAACTGATGCAATTATTTTCAGTTGAAGGCAGAAATTGAGTAAGAGTTCACTTGTTGTCAGGCTAACTATGAGAGTTTTTCGTGGCTTTTCTCTACAATATCAATTAAATTTCACAGTAAATTGTATAAATGAAGTATGTTTACTTTTCAATCAATACAATGTCCCAACCATCTACTTTATGATAATTTAAAGTCTCTTTCAATTTTTGATGAGATGGTCTTCAATGGGATAAAAAAAAGTTCTATTTTGAAATAGTTTTTTCAGTTTTGCCTATCTGGGTCCGCCTTATAAACGGGTGCGACGTATGAGTGTGGCAGAAGTTGAATTCTTGGTGGTAGATGGCGCCACTTGAAAACGAGAGCAATCTCACCCCTTGCCTTAATGGCCTACGACAACAACAATAACAACAACAACAAAATTTGTTCTTCATTTTTATCTCTGATATTTTACAGAGAATGTGCGGGAAAATAATATATTATATTGTTATACATTACTCATTATGTTTTATCGTTCATGCATATTTTAATAAGGCTCTGCCTATCTGGTGTCCCGACCTCTCTTGGTCATGACTCAAATTTATAGCCATTTGATTATAAGAATAAACGAATCATTATGTAAGAGGTTTATGTACAAAACAAAACCGAAAAATTAATATTTGAAACTAATTTTCGTTTGTACTTGTTTAGCAAGAAAAATGTTGTCAGTGAAAACAAATAATCATAGGCTTAATTTCTTGTTTTCTTATGAGATTTCATGACTGTCCTTGAAAACGTTACTACTCAGTTGTTGAAATAGCTAAGAATGGAAAATATTTTTTCTGAGAATTAATAAAAATGCTCCCTTTTTATTTTTTGACGTCTTTTTAATTTGATACTATGATAAAATACGAGAAAATCAACTAAATTTAAATTAGTTTTAAATTAACATTACAAAAATATGAATTTTAATACTATGATAATTTAAAATCCCGTATTTTTCTTATCAATTTAGATCTCCAATATCAATAAATCAATTAAAAACGATTAAACTTCATACGTCAAAAAGAAAACATTTAAAAATGTCATATCTATACATTTTTGTTTTTAATTTTACTTTTATGCAGATAACCGGTATTCAATTTCCATTCCAATATGTTTCAAAATGTATGGAAGATAAGATTGCGATAGTATTGACTTTTACTTGATATATCACTTTTCATCTTAAAGATAAAATTTCGTGTTTTTTTCTTTGACAAAGGTTAAAATGTTTTTCTTATCAAAAACACATTTAAAATTTAAAAAAAAAAATAAAAATGTAAAAAGAATATATGTAGTGCGTAAAAAATTCTTTGAAAAAAAGGGGGGGGGGGCATAGAGCCTCTTTTTTATTTAGTAAATAGTTTGTTTCTTAAAATATTTTGATGAAAAATCTAGATGGTTTTGCAGCAACCAATGAAAACCACTGAAATGTTATGACGTATGAGGAGTACCTTTGACAATCACATGACTCTAGGCAAATCAGAAATATCACATTATAGGATCTTAAATATACAAAGAAAATGCAGAGATCTTAGATTGTCTTCATCATGAAATCAATCTAAGTTACACGTGGCGGTATATACCTGTTAGTCTTTGTTTCCTTATTTAAAGGTATATTTAAACATAATCAGTAATATTTAGTTATCACTTATTCCTAATACTATTCTATGTTATAATTACGTTTTGGACAAAAGCAAAGGCTTGAAAATAAGAAGTTGAAGTACTATAGTGTTCGAATTAATTGGGACAAGCAAGATTTTCTCATTCGAGTTGGTATAGGATTGTCAGTGATGTCCCGAACCGCTTCAAACCAGTTATATCTGCTTTGAGCTGCGGTGACGGATAGACCTTCACTATAATTTACTCTTCTGACTGGTTTTAGAGTATTTGTAGTTCAGTTGTGAGCATTTCAGTGTGAAAACTGGTGGTTATAATTTTGAGTTTAGTCTAACACAAGTTATGTGCTTTTAAAAGATGGATATTAGTCCGAGGAAGCGCTCTAAAATTATCGCTCTTAATGAACACACTTCTATGACTGTAAGAGACATCGCTACAGCAGTTGGTGTAGGGAAATCTAGTGCTTCCAGAATTCTTAGAACATTTCAAGATTCCGGCTCATCCTCTCCAAAAAGAAAAGGAAAATGCGGACGCAAACGGAAAACTACTCCAAGAACTGATAAAAGTCTAATAAGAAATCGTAAAATTAATCCAAAAAAGACGAGCACAGACCTCCGAAGGGATTTATTGAATTGTGGTGTTGATGTAAGTACTTCAACTGTACGAAAAAGGCTTCAAGAAGTTGGGCGTAAGGCAAGATGACCAAGGAAAAAACAATTTCTAACTCAGAAAATGATGAAAAAACGTTTAGCATGGGCCAGAAAATACCAAAAATGGACTGTAAATGACTGGAAGAAAGTGGTTTTCAGTGAAGAAACACATTTATTTGTGCAGGGATACAAATCAAGTATAGTTAGACGAAGTGAAGGCGAAAGTCTGAGATCAGATCATATCCAACAGACTGTAAAACACCCTTCCAAACAAATGTTTTGGGGTTTCTTCACAGCAAATAGCACTGGAAGTTTAGTGCCTCTAAAAGGCATGATGAATTCAGCCAAATACATCGATATATTAGATAGCAGGATTGCTCCATTCATGGAAACATTCGACGGAACATTTAAACGTGATTTGGCCCCTTGTCACAATTCCAAACTGGTCCAGAATTTTATGCGAGAAAACAAAATAAAAGTGCTTGATTGGCCTGGTAATTCACCAGACCTAAATCCCATTGAGAAACTGTGGCATATTCTAAAGAATCGCTTAGCCAAGATGAATTGCACTACAGGAGAACAAATGATAAAAAGTGCTATTCAAGTATGGTTCCACGACGATGAAGTCAAGAACATGTGCGCTACACTAGTGGAATCAGTGCCAAAACGTGTTCTTGAAGTCATATCTGCTAAAAAGGAGAACATACTTCATATTAATGCAGACATGTATCAATGTAACTTAAGGTATGTAATGATTAAAAGCTAAAGTTTCAATAAATCACTTTTTTTTCATTTGTCCCAATTAATTCGAACAGTATAGTAGTTATAGCAATCGAAATAGAGATAAGATTTAAAAAAAAAAAAGAATTTTACGGATAATGGTGAATGGTAACTGAACAAAATCATTAAATTAAAATTTTGTTTCAGCTAATTAAATTTCTTAGACGCTATTTAATTTATGTAATTAAATATTTTAGAACATAATCTATTAAAAGGTGTCAATGTGGTGTATTTCAAATCAATTAATAATGAGAAAAAAACGAAGATGACACTGGAAAATAGAAATAACATTGAAGGAACGTAAAGGGTAGATCCCTCTCCTTAAATGTTTGAAACGGGAAAAACAGTACAGAGTATAATTGACAAAATAAGAATAAATTTATCTCACGATTCTCAAAATAATCCCAACATTTTGAATTTATCAAGTTTGACACAAATTGGCTCAGAAAGTTTTTCCAAGAAAGTACACGTATCAACATTAAGCATAACGAAGTGATATCTATTCTAAATTAATTTCTAATTTTATTGATTCTGGTTCATTTTTAAGACTCTTACACAATATGGGGTCTGCGGGTGGCCTAATTTCTGATGCTACTTAACAACCAAATTTATTCACGACCAAGAAATTTGCTTAGTATTACTAATTTAATCTAATTAGTCTCTTTCCACCTCAAATGGAAATTAGGATAAAACTTAGTAAATATAATTTATATTTTGAGGATTCTGAGTCATATTTAGGAACCTAGGAGTCGTAAAGACGCAAATTGTGGAGACTCCATTGCACACAACCGTGAATCAAATATACAAATTTTTCTACACTGAGCAATGTCCCATGCTAGTAGAATATGATAAAATTTACCATGTTTCTGGTTCAATTGGAACTCAAAAACATTTTTCTTCGAAGCGCATTGGTAAAACTTAGTAAATATAATTTATATTTTGAGGATTCTGAGTCATATTTAGGAATCTAGGAGTCGTAAAGACGCAAATTGTGGAGACTCCATTGCACACAACCGTGAATCAAATATACAAATTTTTCTACACTGAGAAATGTCCAATGCTAGTAGAATACGATAAAATTTACAATGTTTCTGGTTCAATTGGAACTCAAAAACTTTTTCCTTTGAAACGAATTGGTAACAATTTTGATAAAATTAACTAAACAATATGGTTCTTCGATAAATGTGGTAAAATTTGGTAATTTTATCATGATATCTTAGAGCATACCATATAAATAATTTATTCGGTAAGAATGTTATTTTCAGTTTTGTTTTTTCTACTAAATCTGAGGGAATAAAATCTGTAACTTGAAAAACCAGAGTCTCTTAAGAACCGTTATCATATGAACGGAAAAACTAACAAATGAATGGTTTAAATACCGTATATTTTGGTTTTAGTAACTAAATTTTTTTTTTTAATGTGAAATATCATTATCATATAGTACAGTAATTTTTCTAGAACTCTTTTCTCCGTGCAGTTTGTGCAAAAAATACTTCACAAATGATAAATGTTGCTAAAAGCTGAGCATAACTCTTAAAATATCAACAGATTTTAAAAATTATGATCTATTAAGAATATTTTAGTTTATATTAATTTTAATTTTTGTTGATTCAAAATTCCAGCAGGGATGAAAAATTCTCAAATCCTGATTATTCCGCAAAATGCTGCTTTTTTTTTTTTTTAATTTTTTTCCTTTAAACTCTTATTTTTTTTGTTACAATAACTTTTACAAAATATTCTTAAAAAGTAAATTTATGTGTATTATTAAATTTTTTCTTTTAACAAAGAAAATAGAATTATTTGATTTTGTACAATTCTTAAATAAATGAATAAAAAGGTGTTAAAAATAAAATCGAAATATGCTTCAATGTAAAAATAATTTTAAGATCCCAGTTATAAACTAATAATTAAATAAATTGAGATATAATGTTATTTGTGTTAGATTTAACACTGTAGAAGATATTCCTTGTTTTCTTTTATCGAGAGTAGGTTGATGTGGCAAAAGGAAATGAGAACTATGTTAAGATAAACTTAAAATATGAATATTTTAGTGTCTAAATAAGGACTTACTTTTCTATCTTTCTTAAGCTTTATTTGTCCGCATACTACATTTTACATTTAGCTGAAAGATTTAACAATGTTCAGAAAAAAATTGCTACAACGTTTTTTTGTAACAAAACAATTTGTGGCGATTTTCTTTCCTTGTTTTTTTTTATTAGACCAAAAAATTTTCAAGGGGCTGCCGAAATTTCCTCGGAAACTCATTCTCGAGATCATATTCTGCATCCATGAATTCCAATAGACATTTAAGTGAAAGAAAAACATTATTTTAAAAATTTATCATGGCTCTAGATATTTTATAAAGCTTAAATTTTTTTACAAAATTTTACAAAAATTAATAAATTTTTATAAAATTTAAAATTTTTTTATTAAATTTAATTAATTTTTATTAAATTTAATAAATTTTTTTTACATTTTTCAAAGGGACATATCTAATAAATTATTTGAATGTCCATATCTGTAGAGTAACGTACTTCTGTTAGTTCACCTATAGAAAAGGTAATTTGTTTTGCCTTACATAAAAAATGTACTTAAAAAAAAAAGAGTTCTCTCTGATAAAAAAGTATCACTATCTTCTTTCAAAACAACATGGATACATTTTACTCAGAATAAAGAAGAAAATCAAGTATAAAAAATTCGAAGAAATAAATACACTTACTATTACATTAAAAATAATATATATATATATACATATATATATATCTATAGAAAGGGACAATCGTCTTAAAGCAGACGTCAATTAAAAAAAAATTTCGAAATAGTCTTGCATAAAAATAAAAGTTTCAGGCGCGTGTATGAAAACGCCACACTTCCATTTGGTTTTGTTTACTATTCGTTAGCGCCCTCTGTTGACAGTCTGGGAAAGTATTGGGAGTCATTGTCCGCGACGTTCCTTAAAATTTAGCAGACGACAATATATTTTTAAAATGACTTCCCGGAAGTGTGGAATAACTGAGGTACAAAAAATTTCCGGGATTATGTGAGTACAGATTCCTCCTTTTCCGAATTTTTATAAAAATGTTTTTAAAGAGTGAAAATTACCAATTTAATTTTAAGTGTTTGTTTTATATTCATTCAAGCAGCAAAATGTAGGGCACTGTGGAAGTGCGTCATTGTATATTTATTTTTGCCATTCGTACAATCAATTCTTACAAGTTCGAAGATAAATAAAATATTTCTAGTGTTTTACATCTAACATATTCTTTACTTGTGTTGATAAGTCCTACATTAGTGTCGATTTTTTTCCTTCTCATTTATCTCTGTCACACTATTTAATTCTCTTATTCGATGTTATTTGATGCGGTGAATTTTTTCATAAAAACTGTTGCAAACATTCAATTCTTTAATAACTGGAACATTATATAAGTTGATGAACAATATCTAAGTCATTTGTATCAAATTTGATAATTTATTATCATTTATCAAATATTTATTATTACCAATGCGCATTAGCTGACGTAATATGAACTTGTTTACAATTTCGAAGTATTAATTTAATATGCGGTTATAAAGTCATTACTGCTATTTTAAAAATTTCTTAAACAAATGGTTGTCTATATTCAAAAAATATTGGAAATGATGTATAGAATAAAACGATATTTGTGTTAAAATTTTTAAATCTCCATCAAATTTTATTTACCTTAGATTGTAAATTAAAATAAAGAGTTTCGTTCATTAAAAATGAACAGTTTTACAGTGAAAAATTAAGTGATAATTAATTGCTAATTTATAGCATCATGATAATTTATATCACCTTGTGTGATAATTTATAGCACCGTATACGCATTAGGTGACGTAATATCAACTGGTTTACAATTTCGAAGCATTAATTTAATATGCGTTTATAAATTATTTAATGCTATTCTAAAAATTTTTTTATTCAAAATTTTTGATATTAAAAAATAGTAGGAACGATTTATAGAATAAAGAGATTTTTTCATCAAACGATTAATCATATTAAAAAATATTAGAAGCAATTTATTGAATAAAAGGATTGTTTTAAACAAACGATTTTGTTTATATTCAAAAAATATTCACTATTTATAGAATAAAAAGATATTTGTGTTAAAATTATGAAATCTTCGTTAAATTTTAGTTACCTTCGAATCTAAATTAAAACAACGAGTTTTGTTCATTGAAGCTAAACAGTTTATACTGTAAAAATAAATAGCAATTTTTATTCTAATTCAATGCGTCTATATGCGCTTAAAATACTTCTTTTCATTTTACCAACCAAGTTTTATTTTTAGATTAAATAAACGTATTAAGATGAATATCTGAGAATATGAAAAAAAAAAATATTAACGATAGCGGAATTAAAGAATATTTTTTTAAAGAATGAAGTAAATTGAAAATAGGTTTATAAAGAATAAAAGCGTTTAAAGAAGAGTTTTAACGATAAACTGAAATAGTTATTTTGTTTAAATTAAATGAATTATAAGAAAAACTAAATTTAAAAAAAAGGATTTGAGTTGGGAAAAAAGCTTTTAATTTTTATCACATTGCGTAGAAGTTTCTATGCAATTCCTTATATTATCATAATTTTTAAAATTGTACGTAATACGATTTTGCTATTTTAAAGAAAATCTATATAATTTCATTTTTTATTAATGATGTACAATTATGACATGTGCAGTATTCTCATCTTAACAATAAATTTTTATAATAATAAAAAATAAAATAATTATTAGAAACATTTCAATACAGCTAAAAAAAAGGGCAAAACCAATAAAGAATGCAGTCTCAATGTCAGTCCCTGGCAGTGTCACGTCAGTGTCAATGGCAGTAATATTGAATATGTATTGTAAAAATAAAAAATAAAAAAACACTCAGAGAAATACGAAAATATAATGCTTTAAGATGACGATCAGAAATGTCAGTATAGATTCATTCAGAAAGTTAAG